TGTTATTTTCTTTGAACCTATCTCCGTGAGTGTACCGAAAGACCCAAATAATATAATCATGTACTATCATGTTAATAAATACACACTTCAGGGTCATTTACCACTTCCAGTAATTGCAATGTTTTCTTTGCATATTAAAACCACACAGAGCACTGCCAATAATTAACTGTACTTTCTTGAGAAGGTTAAATGCATTTGGTGTAAACTTGTAATGAAGCTTTTTGAGATTGGGGCTATCACAATGCGGAACAAGACAAATCATTGTGATGTGTAAGAGCAACAGCTTTGCTTTGATTAATAACCACAGGCGTGACGACCTTCCAATGAAATTCAGTCCACGCTTGAGATTTTTTTTTAAAAATCCTCGATCGGTGTCCGTTTGTTTGAATACAGTTTTGTTCATTATTTATATAGCACCTACGATTGTTCTTATTTACCGTGTTGTTTTGAGCCAGACTGCTGCATTTTACGAAATGGAATGCTCAAAACGGTTGTACAAATTGCATAACACTTTGAAGACGAGAGTGGGAGCTCGTGGAAGGATGTTGCACACAGGGCGCGTGTTGTTCATTGTTTGAAGTAGCACAGAACTGAGGAATTCCGTGCTCGCCCTTTTACATGTCAGTCCAATCGTTTCAACATTTTACTAAAGGTGAGGTACACATATCTAAAGAATCCACAGAGGGATAGTTCTTGCCAAATGTATTTATATATATATGTGTGTGTGTGCATTCAGTTTTTATATAATTTTATTGTGTTTTATTCCGCACATTATCGTTACTAATTAAATACTTATTGGTGGCACTAACATGACCACCAGCCTTCGCTTCCCCCATAGCTAGGAGTTAATATTTGGTATCAGTTACGGTTACTGACTGTATAAACGTAATGAATTCCTATCTTTGGCATACATCATCAGTGCTAGCATGTGGCTGGCATTTGGGTTCGAGTTAACTTCATACTATATAGCCTTAAAAGACAATAAAATTTAGAAATCTGTATTTTCTACGAAATTCAGTGAAGCCATGAGCTCATGGCTGATGGAAGCCAATATCATCTAGGCAGCGTTAACAACGCTTAAAAGATGATTAATTAACTATGTTTTTACCTGGATTTATTTAAACCATCAAACAACATTTTGCCTGTGAAAGTCAGAAAATAATCAAAAAGACTAAAATGGTCAATGAAGTAATCATACTTTCCCTCTAAGAGAACTCAATATGTTTCCGCTGGGGGGGGGGGTAGCTATGTTTCCAGTGAAGTTTTGAGCAATGTGGGCGTGCGAAATCGTTACAAAAGCGCACTAACACAGGAGCATGAAAGGCCGTTTCCAGCGAGATGACCTTTTTGCTGACCCCACGGTCGCGTCCTGACGTCGCAGCTAATGTGGGCTGGGTCACGTGGCAGATCGGACGCACTTGGTGATCTAAAGACGTTATTCCTGCCCGAAAATTCAGTTTCTGAGTGAATTTTGTTAAGCTTGCAGTCTCTTGACAATGTTTTTCTTCTTCCCATGTTAAATGTAAACACAACTCAGTGTGTATGTTGCAATGTGATTAAAATAAATGTAATATTTTTAGACGCATGGCATACTAAAGCCCTGTAAATATAATGGGGAGAATGGCATCACTCGAACAGATGTGTGTTGCATTAGTGCTGTATGATAATTATCAAAATGCATTGGTCACATGATGGACGACCAAGGAATGTACAGGTATTGTCCCTCAAACATACAATGCATGCATTATACCTGATTAGTTTCATTTGCATAATCTTCATGAGAACTGCTGCATCGTAGCCAGGCAGAAATGAACACACGACCATATTTACTCATAAAACGCTTCAAACTTAGTTATGTTTTTAAAGTAACAAGTGGTGGGTTTTAAATAAATGGATATTGATGCTGCGCTTGCTATACACGAGGAGTGTTGTTTGGAATATTTTAAAGGGGAATGCTTTGTTGAAGCTATAAATATACTGAGGAGGATGAATGCAGTCCTTTCACATCGTCAGCCACTAAACTGAGAATCTTTGTCTATACCAATGGTCTCTAACTGCTAGACCGGCCTGTTAATGGTCCAGCCTTGAAATCACTATGCTCTTGTGTTTCCGAAGATTTATGGTGCTTTATAGTGTAGGCTTTCTCATTAAAACAATGTGATCCCGTCTTGAGGAGGGTTTTCAATCGAATATGTAATTCAACAACTTAGCACTCGCCGTGTCGAATATTCACACAAGCACGATTTAGTTTCATTGTAATTTTAACATCGATCATCATCCACGATCTACCGACTGCTGGATGAAGGCCTCTTCAACTTTTCATCAAATTTAAACAGTCGGGCAATGCAACACGCCATCTAACTACTGCACATGAGCTGATCCCATCACTTCATCTCCTCAGTGATCATCCCCTCAGATGTGTTCTCTACTTTGGCTGCTACTGCATCGTTAGTCTCGACCACTGCCCGTCGCCCCTTCTCACAATGTGGCCTGTTGAAGCCCATCTACTTCACGTCAACGACGTCTGTAGTTTGCGTTTGTGCTTTTGATCGATGTGTTCTGCTTGCTGTTTCTCAGTGGAATTCCAAGTGGTAACCTCTTCATACTTCTTTGATTTTTTTTTATTTTGTTCTTCTTTGGTATCAGTAAAATGTTTTACTTTTATTTGTTCACTGATCCACATGTGATCTCTCTGCATCTCAATATAATTCCAAGCATGGAGTGCTCTGCACACATTTCAGCTTTTGTTCGATTTTCTATTCTGATTCGTATGCCACTCATTGAAAACGTTCTTTTGTATTGGTTACATTACTTCTCACCGTTATTAAGATCAATATTACAAAAGGATTGCTCTTGCTTGCTTTATTTAATCTCGTTTTATTCATGACATTGGACATTGACGAGCTGACATTGAGAATTGAGAAATGAAATTGACTTAATTAGAACAGACAAATTTCATATTTTCAAAGACGTCTTTGTCCTCAGCAAATTCTGCACAGGAATTGATCAAAGGCTGGTGCGATGTATGTTGCAGTTCAACATAGCCAAAGAGATGGCAAAGATAATTGCAGACAGAAACAAGATAGTTTAAAATGACTATTTAAAATCATACAAAAAGTTTTGAATTTGCAATACAAAAATGTTTTTCATTCTCCCTCTCCATATATATGACCGAAACAATAACGTAAAGTGTCATACAGAGCCATGGCTATTAATATAACCGTAGCTGCAGAATATGTAGTGGTCAATGATACCACTATATACAAAGGAAGCCAACAGAAGTGGATTGTAGAGGACCATATGTCCCGTGAGGCGTGCGGGCTTCACAAGACGGACGGTGGCAGACGACCAATGCTGCATTCAAAGTTACGGACTTCCTCAAAAAGGCTGAGCACTCTCACTCACTTTATGCAGCCACAGCACGGGCCGGCCCTTTGTGCTGCACGTGCCCTTTGCTGCACTGGGATATTGACCTTTTCATAGCGATGTTTTCAGATGTACGTTAAAACTATTTTTTTTATATTCCTGAAACGTTTTATGTTTTGCCCTTTCACTGTTGCTCACCGACTAAAGTCCGTTTGTTCTAGAAACGAGTTTTGACTCAATAATTGCAACGTTCTATATTTTAAAAAAAAATGCTTGAATAGAAACATTGTGGAAATTACCCTTATGAAAAACCATCGAAATATCAATGACGGCCATATTTTGCAACATTGAAACATTGCGTTTCAGTTTAATCATGGCTGTCTGGCTTACACTGTAAGCCACTGTCCAGTAAAATACATGTCAATGCATCGCAGAGTATTTCCAGCATGAACCAAAAGTTTTAATTTAGAGTGTGATTCTCCAATGACTGCAGCATTATTATTATTTGATAGAATGGAACAACGGTACCTGGGAAAATGATTATGCGACCTCTACAGCAAAGTACTGTACCAGGAGTATATGTTAAGCATAAGAGTAATATTAACATTGACAAACTTAACTATCGATCAATCAGTGTTACAATTAGCGGTGGTTTCAGCATGCCAGAAATCACACTGGACAAGAGAACGATTCACCTTTGTTGATGTCTGATCCTCACAGACCTGGTCCAGCACTCTGGGGTAATTTGATTCACTGCTACCTCAATAAATAAATGTCCTTGTCAATACAGTACAGTGTTGCTCAATACTGACTACATGCTCGCCTTGTAAATGTAATTGCGTGGCTGATCTGTGGGTGTACTGATGCTTTCATGTGGGTACTGTATTGGAAGATGTAAAACGAGCAATTGTGCTTGTTTAATCAACGCCAATTCATGCATTTATATTTGTGTGCAGGAATTTGTTTTATTCTTGTATCTCCTACCATTGAACATGTATCCCTCTAACGGAGCGATGGCAGGATAGGGATGTAATGAACATACATTTGGTGGAGGTTTTATTGGCAAAACAATGCGACCGGTAATGTTTCATTGATTCTAATTACACTGTGGTATGATGTGCAAATGACAATTCGTAGCAGCTTAAAAATATTGAAATTTCGCTTTGATGGAACCTTGTGCATGGTTAGCGAGCCGGGATGTGACTGGTGACCCAGAAAATCCTTCTTGAATGCAAACGGCATTCAAATGATTAAGTACCCATACCATGAGTGGATGTCATCATTTACTGAGAAATAAATTAAATACAGAATCGCTTCTGCAATAATATACCTGCATCATCGTTAGCATTACCTGATTGTTAATCAACATCCCTAGTCGTATGCGACAAAGATTAGGATACTAGACTGTTTCAACAAGCATTTCTGGAATGACGAGGTAATCTTTATGCCTTAATTTACATGACTAAATACTGTAACCAACATCGTGGCCTTCCAATAGAAAGAAGTTATTTTAAAGGCACACAAAAACGCGTTTGCTATAACGTATCGCTACGGATTGTCATACCTACTGCGTTAATATCAATTATTCCTACCTGTTCCTCACTTATGAAACCGTTTTTTGTTTTTGTATACAGGTTACTGGTGGGAGCTCCGAGAGCAAAGGCCCTTCCCAATCAGCACGCCAACCGTACCGGCGGGGTCTACCAGTGTCCCTTCACCACCAACACCGACGACTGCCAGAGGATCATCTTCGACAATGACGGTAGGGAAATGGCGTCCCGTTTTACGCACCCGGTTGAAAAACGTCCTCCTACGGGGCAGATCGGCGTGTCACTTTCGTTCATCGGATTCAGTTTTTTTCCCACCCGATCTCGCTCCTTCCTTTATTCCATCGTTTTCATCCCAGTCCCAAAATGGAACGAAGGCTTAAAGTTGCACGAAGAAGTATGAATCGGTGGATTAATGCTTACAAACTACACTGAGGTATAGAAGGAGGGGCTCATGCATCGGGGAACAATTGACAATGAGAGACACTTGTTCAGGAACGTTTGTAAAATTTGGGCAGACCATATTACGATGAAGGGATTATAGCCGATGGATGAGGCTAGCAATGGAAGGAAAGCCTATGGATAGGACTCATCCAAGAGGGTGACAACTGTGATCAGATCAGCTTGTGTGCAGGAGTGGGGTTTGTGGTGGCATTGCAGGACTGTGTGGAATGCTGACACTGTGGGGCAGAGTTTATCCGGTAATGGATTGACTATAGTGATGATGATGACTGCAAATAAATCTCACGTTCATGTTAACATGCCTTTGTGATTTATTTTATTCCAATGTATGTATAATAAGTAGAACAAAAAAATGTTGCTTGCATTCATTCTGGATTACCCAATCTTCAAATGTTAACCAGTCAGGCCAGTTTGTGTCTTTAAAATCAGTGGCTGAGTGCTGTCAGGTGACCAGCTTGAATAATCCCATGTGACCCAATTACCTGGGTCACTGCACGGCAAACCCTTGCGGCTGCTGGTGTTTGCCGTAGGTCATTCAGTGTCCTTAGCTTTCTACCTCCTTTCTAGTGCTCTTGGCTGATAATGATTATTTATAGACATCATAAGCCTGTTTATTACAATGTTTGTAAGGTATTTATACATTCATCATCCTTAAATGCAGTCGAGAAAAGTTATAATGGCACAGAAATACAAAATATGATGTAATTCTCCATTGTATTTATCTAATACATTGTACAGTCTTGGCATAGGCTTTATTTATTAAATACATTTTTGGATATTGTACAGTTCCCGTGTATTACTTATGCTAGCATTTTCTGTCATACATAAGCTGGTATCTAAGGGTGAACATTACGTCCTCTGTGTTATGGAAACACGGATGTTACATTATAGTGTTATCTCCTTTCCTTTCACGCGAATGCCTTTTGGATGTGTCATTACAGGAATTCAGAATGTCACAAACTGCCCTTGATCTGAATCATTGCACATGGGGGGAGGGGTGGAGCAGTAGTCAGTGCACTGTGCTATGAAATCGGTGACCTGAGTTCGGTTCCTTGTCATGGCTAACCGGTCCTGGGCCTGGCCCTTCATCAACCATCACTGACCAGCATGGTCAAGTATGGTCGAACAACCCCTCATGAATGACCCAGCATGGGGAGGTCATCAACCAATCGTGGGTTGATAAATGATTGTAATTATCATTTAATTGAAAATAATTAAATTCTGTTTTTTGTTCTAAAAAAATCAATGCTTACCTCCAGATATCACGTACCTAAAAAAAAATCTATGTTGATTTTCACGAGTTTGGATATTTGGTGCTGGGTTGTAACTGAGTAAAGACCCAACAGAATAACCCTGGCTTAGATATTTCACGAAGCCTATGGGGTTATATTCTGTACGAACCATAGAAGATGTGGATACTTGCAGTACAAAGGTCAAATTAAAAATTCTCTGGTGTGTGTCTGTGGTCACCCAGAACGGAACCATGGAAGATTTAACGACTCAATGCCCGGTTGAGAAACATGAAAGAGGCATCACAGCCATACACCCAGCTAATCCTGATGCAATTATCTGGCTCAACCACCTCAATGTATAACATCATACACCTCAATGTATAACATTCTAACAATGTATAACAATTTCGATTTAAAGCTTTCGTGACTGCAGGGATTCATCTTCTTGGTTCTTTCGGTAAAGTCACGTAGACTGGAAATAATAAAATAATAAAAATGTAGCATAACAACAATGTCACAAAAATGTTATAACAGTGTTATAACGTTATAACAATTATAAGAAGAAACATAACAATGTATAACATTAAACACCTCAACATTATTACACCTCATTATACACTTCAATATATAACATAATAGTTGTTGCTCGACATTAACATCAGCCGTGCGAAGAAGAAGACCAGTAAAATGTCCAGCGTTCTTTCAAAGCCATTTCAAATGTTTTGGACAAAGGCTTCAGTGGTCGGCGTCCACACTCGGGCACTGCAGCCCTCCTCATGGGGGATGGGGCCTAGGCAGGGGTAGGAAACAAAGGCCCTCTTGGCCTTGCCATGGGACCCAGCAGGGAATTTTAATCAGCACACTGGGGTCAATGGAGTGTCACTGATAAGGGTTACGGACACTGCTGCTCATCCGCCGATAAGTGTTCACACGTACAATGACCTGCTCTCTTGAATTCAATAAAATACTTTGGGAAAAGAATATTGAAAGGGTCGTGCTCATATTTTCCTTCCAATCGTTACATTGTTTTGCTATGTTTAATAAATCATTAATTACACGTTTTAACGAGAAAATATAATTAATTCATAAAATTGTATACATCTTCATTGCCCTAAGCAAGTGATTTTAATGTGCAAGTGCACACGTTATCTTGAAATTATACTATTAATAGTATATTATTATTCCAGCCACGTTGTCAGTCAACTGTGCTATGTCGTGGGCAGCAGAGGGCAGTGTAGTAAAATCAACTGTTGTACGGCATTTCTATGCTCCCTACTTTTACCAATCCACACTGAACAGCCTGGTGAAATATGGTCAAACAGCTCCCACGACGTGCACAGCATGGAGAGGTCCTCATTCAAGAGTGGTATCACAAACTGGACTGTGCATGTACATACACATTTCAGCACTCATATGCCAGTTTTAATTGATCACTATTTCATTCTTAGTACGATAGATGTTGTGCATACATACATACATATGTACTGTCTTTTAAAATAACTGCACCTTTATAATGAAGAAAGGGTATGGACCAGCCTGCAAAGACACTGATTTCAGAAGCTTTGCTCGACCAATTTTCTCCACTGCTTACCCCGCTTTATTTCTGGGTGTTTTGTCGCTTTTTTGGTTCCCAGCTGATCCGATGATTGAAAGCAAACAAGACCAGTGGATGGGTGTCACTGTGAAGAGTCAGGGGCCTGGAGGGAAGGTGCTGGTAAGTGCTGTTCTGCCCAAACACATCCTCAGATTGATCATATTAAAGCTGACTCTTACACATTGTTCGTTATATGGTGTACATCAGAATACAATTTATGTATGCAGAGAGTAACATTTTATATGAAAATTATCCTGTTGTGTACAGATACAAATGTAGCATAGTGATGGAGCATAACTTCATTTCCATATAGAATTTAGGAAGTTTTTTTTTTTTTTCCCCTGGCAAGTGTATGTGAATGAATTAATATCTGATTATAGAGTGTGAGTGGTATCTCATTGAATGCCTGGATTTTCTCCAGACACTCCCACTTTCTCCCACAAATATACCTTCAACAAAGAATGTACTGTATGCCAAAACATCCCAAGCGTAGAATTGGTGGAGCATCCCAAAGCGGTGCCCTCTTGACAAATTCTTGTCACTTGATAAATGACGATTCGTTGTTTGTTGTTGTTGTTGTTGCCGTCTCGTGTTGCGGCCTCTAGGCTTGCGCGCACCGCTATGAGACGCGACGCTTTGTGGGGCAGCCCGAGGAAACGCGGGGCATGATCGGTCGCTGCTACGTGCTCAGCCAGGACCTCATGATGAACGAGCAGGATGAGATGGACGGAGGGAGCTGGCAGTTTTGTGCCGGCAGGCCTGATAGCCACGAACAGTTTGGAGTCTGCCAGCAGGGCCTCGATGCTGGGTTCACACGTGACTTCCACTACATCTACTTTGGGGCTCCCGGCGCTTACAACTGGAAAGGTACTGGGCCCCGTGAGGGAACGGTGAATAAAAAGCACACGTCTAGGCTACTGATGTGCACATTTCAAACTTGTGATTGTAGAGGTTTAAAATCAAGGGAAAACATAGAGCCATCTTGTGAAATTACATGTATTTTTTGGAAACAGCAAAGATGGCTGCGTTGTTATCCTACCTGTGCAATTAACAAAAAAAACCGAGGGTATTTCTCCAACTAACCGCCAAATAAGCCTATAATCTTACAATAACCCAACCTTCAGTTACATCAGTAGTGGAATGTATGAGCGTGGAGGTGAAAAGACTCGCAGGAGTGCTATTTCACCCGCGTCGGTGCTAGCTGGCTGTGAGTCCCTGTTTCCATGGTGACATGCACCTAACGGAATGAGACCACTGAAAAGCTGGGACGTGGGAAGCAAAGTGAGTAAGCACCAGCTGAGCAATGCCCCCCGCATAAAGTGGAATAATCGAGCGTGTGTGAATCTACAGGGCAGGGTACCTCTGCCTGCTGGGAAGCAGTCTGGTGACGAATTGTTGTTTTGCTGATTTCTTTCAGACGAGATTATTGATTTGGACAAAGAATTGTCTGAAGAAATGCATTGCGTTCATAATTGTTGCGTAGTGTGTGTATACAAATGGATGTTACAGTATAATGGATAGAAATTGCCGTTTGTAATTGAAGTGTACGGAATTTATTTTCCGAAACAGATCGCTCTTTGCTATTGTTTTGGTGTGTGTTGACTGTGCGTTTTTTCTTTAGGAATTGCTCATGTTGCACAAAGGAACTCGACATTTTATGAACAGGGCATCTTTGACGACGGACCTTATGAGACTGGAGATGAAAGGTGGAAAGATGAGAAACTGGTCCCTGTGGCCTATAACAGCTACTTAGGTAGGACGGTCCTGATACTGGAAAGGGCAGAGGTTGCTGGAGAGATGTTCAATTGGTCCAAATTATTCGAAAGGTCCAAAACAAGATCCTGGCCTTGCATGTGAATGTCAATGCCCAATCTCTCCAGCTTCATCTGTCCACGTTTCTGTCCTTTTCCCACTGTTCTTAATCTGCTCTCTCTCTCTCTCTCTGTCTGTCCTTTACGGTGCAGGAATCATGTTTTTGACCAGCATCGATAGTTCAGGCGCTGATCAGAATTTGTACAAAACCGAAGAGGCAAAAGACAAGCCACCTGGGAGCTCTCTCAGCCTGGAAGTGTCCAGGAATAGTTATCTAGGTTTGTAACCGCTGGTGCGGTGCTAAGTGTGCAGTGCTTGACCACCTAATGTGCCATGTGCATGAATCCCCACATAGTCGATTGATCAGTGATTGATTTATTTTGATAACCATTGCCCCCCTCCATAATTATATTATTTTATAGACAAGATTCATAATCGAATCGTCAAAGGGCATCTCTGCTCAGGTTTGATACGTTGAAACGTTATTATATGCCAGTGTGTGTAAGATCATGCTCGTTGGACATCTGTGAAAAATAACTTCATCGCTCATCGGATTTCTCCAGGATACAAAAAAGATTCTGAAAGCCTCAGACTTTTTAATGAGTGCTTAACAAATTAACCTGCAAGAATACAGATCTGGAAATTAATTAGCAGTGATGGGAATTTTCATTGTTCTAAACTTCCAATAAGACTATAGCGATTGAGATATGAAAATCCATAACCATAACACAATACATTTTCTGATCAACAATGTCAGTAAAAATTGTGACAATTTTAATCGACAAATAATAAATGTGTGCATTAGTTAAATCGGTTCCTTCCAAGCTTCTGGCTGTCACCTTTTATTTCTGCTCGACTTCACCTCCCTAACCTCCATAACCTTCCCTCGTGGCCGCATGCTCTGAGCCAGAACATTGCCTGATGCGTCGTGACGTGAACCTGCACGCTCCCACTCTACCCGTGAAAGTTTGCAAATGCGGTGCCGTGTGACATAACCGAAGTCTCGTTCGATGTCTTTAAGTTTTGCTGGTTTTCCGTACGCGTTAAATCACAACTGCATCACACAACACTCACGTGGATGGTGACCTTGGGCATGGCGGGCAGGTTTCGGAGCAGCAAAACAGCTGCCCCCTCCACGGCACCTCGCACCTTACTGCCTCTCGGTGACACCAGCGTCGCCCCGATTAACTCACACGCTTTCCCTTGAGAATGTGTGGCATAAGTGTGTGCACCACGTGCCTACCTGCGGTAGGCCACGTAATTAATCACAAACAATGACGTATACATTAAACTGACATTCTATAGCCGTCTGTCGCACCGCAAGTGCTTAAGTAATGAATAACAAGATTGAGGATTACTACTGATATCCCTTCATAACGATGAGGAGTGTCTATCCCATTTTGACGATTCGTTTCTGAAAAGCACATAGCTAACGGATAACAAATATTAATGGTCAACTGCAGTCAAGAGTAGTTGAAGGACATTCATTACATTAGTTTTGAACGCATACATAATCTGCCTACTTTCAGTTACAGTAATTTTGAGTGCAATTTTAAGAAGTTGCCTCAAGGTATACATGCAATAATTGTTTACAGAATAAATAAATAAAATGGCGGGGTTTTGCTGACATTTCACTTTAATCCACAAAACTGCTTCGTGCACTGTTGCTGCTGCAGGTTTTATTGCAGTCAACCCTCTCCCTGCTTGCAAGTTACGCTTCACATAATTTCTTATAATTGGCAGTCACGGATTTTATTTCCTACGTGTTTGGCTTCTGCATTTATTTCAATCTTTTAGCTTTCACTACAAGCACGGAATATGTGTGCCAATACGATTAATTTGAAATGCACTCAGCCTATTACATAATGGCCTTCTCATTATCCATTGTCAAAATAGGTCGTAAAAGGTACGCTTTATTCATTTATTCATTCAAGACGAATGAACATGATAATGGATCCTCCTATACATGTAGTGTATAAGAATTTTCATAGTATAGTGCTCATGTTACATTCATAAAAGCAGGGTCCTGCAAAGGACTTCTCAGCTTCTTTGCTCAATTCAGGAAATTCACACATAGGTGGTGAAAAGCTACTGAGTGCAAAGTTTGGGGTGACTGTTTCTAGTGCCTATGGTGGCTGTGTTTTACGAGAGAAGTGCGGAAGCCATCAGGTTGATCTCTCAATGCCATTAGAACCCATGTCTAGTGGCGGTGCAGCAAGGATATTTACCCGAGGTTTGGGTTGGAGTTCTCTGCGTCTCACCAGCATCCACCGTTTTCCAGTTGTCGTTTTGTTTTTTTATCAACTTCATCTTGGGTCCAACCGACTCAAGGTAAATACCATCCTATACGAGTGTTAAACGCCACGGCAGGTAATACGCACTGGTGAAAAACTGTCTTACGTAGGCGTATCAGTATGTTGCTTTTATTATCAAGTTTAGTTTTCCAAAAGCACTCCAACCTGCTCTTGCGCAGGTCTCTTATTTCATCATCATGATCCCAGTCACAGACAATAATTGTCCCAGATATATCGCAACATTTGACTGAGAAAATCGAATGAAAGCTGAAAACAGAACACAAGAGCATGGAGAGTTGCATGTTTGGAATTGCACTGAAATACACAGAAAAACGCATTACGTTGACTCTTAATAAAAGTGGATTTGGGTAGAACACATTTCTCAAAGGGACGCTAACCGATGGATGAGATGGATGAAAGAGGGCAGCCAAAGGGGAGAATATGCCTGAGGTGATGTCCACCGTGGAGAAGGAGGGATCAAATTGGCTCACGTGTAGGAGCGAGATGGATTGTTGGCATGATATATCCAGCAGTGGATAGATCATGGCTTGTAATGAAAACATTGAAATCACATAGATGGTATTGCTGAGTCAAACACCGATTCGTGAAAGCAGTGTGCTCAGGCATCTTTCTTCCTCGTTTCATGTTACATTCCTGTCCTGACAAATGCCATTCGGTGAGGACGTTGGAAAGAGGATCTGTGAATTTTGAGAAAATCTCAGCACCAGCTCTCTCATTTCCCACATCGCAGGGTTCTCCATGGACTCCGGCAAAAGTGTTATGGTCAGAAACGTGCTGAGCTTCGTGGCGGGAGCACCGCGGGCAAACCACACGGGAGCCGTGGTCGTGCTGAAGAAAGACTCGCTGAGCAGCCTCACGCCGGAGCAGACCATCTACGGCGAGGAGCTCGCCTCCTCCTTCGGCTACGATGTGACGCTGGCTGACCTCAACAACGACGGGTAACCGACCGCACGCACCGTGACGCTTCGGGGAAAGAAAGACAAAAACAAAACCTCATCACGAGTTACGGTTGTGCAGAGAGGGACGACGTTCTTGGGAGAAAAACGATGCTCAAACAAGGGTTTTGAAGCGTGCAACGTTGCCGTGGTCATGGCCGCCCTCGAATTCTTCTGAATCAGTAACACTCGCTAACGGGAACAAACTGGACACAATTCAGTGAATGCAAAAAAGCAAGCTGTTTTCCATGCAGCGCTAGTTGGTGAGGTGTGCGTGTGTGTGTGATTGTGGGGAGTGGTAGTGTAGCGGTTAGCACGATGTGCAACGAACCCAGCGACTCAAGTTCGATTCCTGCTCACGGCCAACACTCGTGACGATTATAATCTGAACCGGTCATGTGGAAACATCGCCACTGGTAAGACAGAGGCGGCTAGGTGTGGTGTTGGCCGCCCACCCCCTCGTGTGCCATGTCGGCACTGATAGGTGCTTGCTAACAGCACTTGCCCCGGCAGTCTGCCCAGGCTATATGGGGAATCTTTGTTTTTTTTAAGCGCGAGGGTCATGTCGTTGAAGGTGGCTGGACCTGGTCGTGGGAGCTCCTCAATACTTCGACCGGAGGGAGGACATTGGAGGGGCAGTGTATGTCTACATGAACCAACAGGGCGGCTACGATGAGCACAACTTTATCCGCCTCAATGGCACCAAGGACTCCATGTTTGGCCTTGCCGTGGCCAACATTGGTGACATAAACCAAGATGGCTTTGAGGGTAAGTAACGAGAAAAATAATAACATACCCCTGTCTCTATTCTTTGTTTAATTATAATTCGTAACGTGTTGCCATATGCAAGAATGTCATTCATAATGCAATGTATGTAAATGGTTTATCAATATTTCACAAGCTTTGTAGACTTCTCTCAAGTCAAGTAGATTTTAAATGTAGTTAAACTGTGGCACATTTCTGGAATAGAACTCCCTCCAAGGCACCATTACTTCGAAAGCAAAATAATACAAAAAATTGTAAAGGTATACAATCCATTACTAAAAAATCTAATTTAAAAACACTAACATAGATCTTAAATAAAATTATCACCACCAACATTACCATCCTCGTCACAACCGGTGATGGTTGTGGTGAGAAGTAAAAAAAATATATATTTTTAAAATCTAATTTTATTCAACTTGGTGAATGAAAACCTGAGGAATTCTGCAGTGACACGACTGTGACCGGCTTTTTTTAGACATCGCTGTGGGCGCTCCCTACGATGGATCCGGGAAGGTGTTCATCTACCACGGAGGCAGGATGGGCATCAACCCGAAAGCTTCTCAGGTGATCGTCAGAACGGTGACCCAGGTCACTCTTGCAAAGAAAACTTCTATCCTGGTCCCCTTGAGTTCTCTCACCCGGTGGAACAGAACACACTTGAAATCTTGACAACAGCCCAGATGTGATCCGCTAAAAACACGATCGCCCACATTGGTTACGGTGCACATTATTTACCCATTGCAATATTGACGGCTCTGTCAGCTTTCACGGCCGCAGTGACCGGTGGAATATCCATTGGGTGGGCAGGAGCAGAATGATTAAAATGAAGTACCTGCAAGCAAGAGAAATCAATCTACTGTATTTTAAATAAATTGCATATGTTTCCTGTATGTTTTCAGGCTCAGGTGATTGTAAATCAGTACGTGCCATAAAATAAAAGATAAAATAATTGACACCGTCGTGTGTGTTGGGTGCTTGTCGTTAGGTCCATGGACATGGTTAGTAGTTGTGTGTCCCAATTCACGTGCGTCTGTCTGCTCCTCTTTCCATGCCAGGCAATAAGTGGGGATGACTTCAACTACAAGGTGGAGAAGTTTGGTTACTCCATCACCGGAGGGATGGATGTGGATGGGAACACATACCCGGATCTCCTCATCGGTTCACTGTCAGACAAAATTGCTCTGCTCAGGTAACGTGTGTAGTGGTGTGAAGAATTTTTTTTTAAATTGGCTGTGCCGTGGAAAGAAATTGGTTTCACGTTGTCTAAATTGTCTTCCTTATTTGTGTTTTCGTATAAAAGGGCTCGTCCTGTCATTACTCCCAACATCCTGGTGACATCTGACAAAGACATCGACATCAACGTGAAGAACTGTGACAATGACAAGAGAATTTGGTAAAGTTACTAACGGAAGCGTGAGCAAATCATCTGTCAGCCATTACTTATTTACTTACTCAGTTGTAACGTGTTGACATTTTCAAGTAAATGAGTCATTACTATAATATTGCACTCGAATACTTATGCATTTATATTTTTCAAACATTAGTTGCGTTTAAACACTTTACATTGTTGTTTTGTTTCTCCCGCAGCATAAAGGTGAAGGCTTGTTTCTCATATAGAGCCAAACCTGTGAATTACAACCCGATCATTAGTGAGTATACAAAGTCTGCACCCATGATAACGCAATTATGAGCACAGTACTGATAATCGCACACTTGAAGACCATCGTGTTTTGTAATGCAGAACCGCAACGTTGACATGGCGAATGTAACGGTTCTCGTTGTCAAAGAGCATCGGTTGACGCCATGGCTCCCCGCCCGCAGACTTGACGTACACGTTCGAGGCGGAGATGGACCGCAGGAAGCAGGGGCTGGGCTCGCGCGTCTCCTTCCTACACCGGGGCTCGAACTCGCCTGAGGAGTACGTACTGAGCGGCTCGCTGCTGCTGATGGGGCAGGGGCGGGAGAGGTGCGCAGAGAAAACCATGCAGCTGCAGGTGAGGACGCCCGCCGCCCCGTGCTTCTCCGTGCGTGCTGTGCACTCTCCCCCCGCCCATCGCACCACCGAGCGTCACAGAGGCACGCTGTCATGTAAAGCCGTGGCGGTCTGCTGGCCAATGGTGACAATGTGTGGCCTAAGTTCGAGTTGCATTTACATCCGAGTGACAAGAATGTGCAACTCCTCGGTGCTGGTATTGTTATTTCGATCAAATCCCTTTCGACATATGGGGCAATGGAACAGGGATTTTTGTGATTCGCGATGCTGCAATGGTCCCTGGTGCTGCAAATCATGTATCGTGCCTAGCTGCAGCTAGAGTTGAATTTGCGAACGGTGCAAGGGTGGCAGTAGTAATCAGCTGAATACTAACAGCCGACAAAACATGAACGGTGATCCCTGTGCTGACCCTTTTTTGCCTCTTGATGCAACTGTGAAAAAGCCTTATAGAGGGCAATACCCTAACTGCTGATTAACTGCGGTGTTTCTGCCACTGGCGTACACAGGAGAACATAAAGGACAAGCTGAGACCAATCCCCCTGCAGCTGACATATGAGATCAGCCAGGTTGTGAAGACGAAGAGGCAGGCCACCCCATCCCTGCAGCCTGTGCTGGACGCCCAGGTTCCCAGCCGCATGAAGACCGAGGTGAGAGGGGACCAGGGGACCAGGGGCCCAGAGGCCTGGCACCGCTCCACCTTAAACATGGCCTGCCATTGGCCACAGGAGAATGCTCCGGGAGCTTCGTAGGCCACAGGGGAAATCGCGTCCCTGGGCAGCCAATTAAAATCTGCTTTTAACCTGTCTTTCATAATGTTTCCATGAACAAAATGTTTTTGGTTTATAGTCAAATGTCTTAATATGTTGTTTCTTAAGCTGGAAAACTAACTATGGAGAGGACGTAAAGCGAGGTTATATAGTTCCAGTGTTGGATTTATTAAAGTTGATTCTTTAAAGTGACACACACGCACAGATGGCAGTTAGTTATAGCTTACTCAGAGAGAACAAATTGCAGAAGTGATGTTGAAGTTCTAATAAATAAAATTGACCCGTTATTCTTGTATTGTATTTTCTGCTCACGCTCCAGATAAACTTTGTCAAGGAGGGTTGCGGTCCAGACAACATTTGCCAGAGCAACTTAATTCTCAAGTACAATTACTGCTCCAGAGAGGAAAACGACAAGTTTAAATCCCTCAAAAGGTGACCATTTTTAACTTGTGTCCATGTCTCACCGCACAATGCATACGTGGGGAGATTTCTCACGAGTGAAGAAGGGACGTGGTACTGGTGACCAAAATGCACAAATCTCAGTGAGCAAATGCAAACGCATTTCTCCTCACCGCTTCTTACCATCTCGTGAAGCTACAGCAAAGATACATTTGTGCTGGTTTTGGGGGTTAGTTCCATGCACAGCCTTTCAATATATGTGATAATATCACCACTGCATTTATACTGCAAAAGTATCAATGAAAAATAAACTAAACTTTACTCATTGTTAAGCACATACTAAAAATACATGTGGCTCAATGTGAGGGGCATTATGGTAAAGCCATCAGAATTTCCTGATTGAGTGCATTTTGGTCCTCAAGTGTGAGATCAACATCAAAATAAATCAGAGCAAATGTTACCAACTGACAGGCAGTGATCGATAAATAAATGCCGCATACATTGTACACATTCGTGTGTGTTTTTTAAACTTACAGTTTTCCAGCCAATACAATGTTTCTATTATGATGTATTATGATGATTTCGCACCGTACGTAGCCAAACGTGCTTATCGTAGGCGCGGGGGAAGGACAACAATGATGGGGTTTATCTCATCATTTGCAGATTTGATTCATTATGAGTTTAAATAATATCCCTCTAATTCTGAAGTCGCGCTAAGCTAGAGCGTGAAGCCGTTGCCCGCTGCAGGTGCTGTCATCCGCCGCTCAGACCGGTGGTGGTGCTGCTCGCGCGTGCCTGTGCAGCATGTCAGGCCAGCAGGTGTTCTCCCTGAGTGACCAGAAGGACCTGGCCCTGGAGGTCTCCATCAGCAACACGGGCGACGACGCTCACGAGGCGCACTTAATCATGAACCTGCCTGACACCGTCAGCTACGGAGGCTTCCGCAAAAAGACTGTGCCAGAGGTGGGTCCTGTGGCTTTTGTGGTCATCGCAAACAAATCATTGTAAGCCTGTGCTTTGGTTCGTCTCGCTTCGCTGGCTGCTGCTCTTGCTCCCCGGAAACCACTGCCTCCCGTGTGTCTGGTTGCTTTGCTGGTTTGTCCGTTAATTTATGAAAGGCCGCAAATGTAAATATAAGAACTTTTCTTTTTTGCACATTGTATATCCCTTTTGTCAATCCTTTGCTGGATGAGGACCTCCCCACCTCGTGCAAGTCATAGGACCTCCCCACCATAATTCGCCGCGCTAAGCAGTGTGTGTTGTGGAAAGTGGGGAACATAAATGCTAAAGCATACAGTACAATAGTGGATTTCGCTGCACTGCCTCTGCTGAACAGGTAGCGACTTGAAATAAAAGCACAGTACTGTGTTTCTCTCAATGTAATACTGCCCTTTTGATAGAGAGAATGCATCACGGTAGACTTTAGCTTCGGAATAAATAAAAAAGGCAAACTGCTGCTTGATTCCTTGCAAAAGGTTTCTATTTGGTGTTTGAACATCTTAACATGTTATATTGCCAAAGGGTAAAACCTGTTTTTATTTGTTTCATAGCTGCTGCTTTGATCGTGCGTACTAGCCCGCGCACACACACACTCACCTGCCAGTGTTGAGCATTGAGTGTGTGGAGGAGAAACGGTGGTGATGGGGGCTGGCGTGTGCTGTCGTTGTGCAGGAGGTTCAGCTGGTGTGCGTCGCCAACGCCAACGGCTCGCTGGCCGACTGCGAGCTGGGAAACCCGCTCAAGCGCGGCCAAACGGTAACCGCTCCTCTTGACCTCCCGCGCGCGACCCTACGTGCCTCGACAAAGACGACGCGTGACGTAACGTTGCGGACGTGATTTTAAAACATTCCGGTCACGGAGGGTCGCGTTTAATATCGTGCTTATCGGAATAAATAACTTGGCAGTTTTAAAAATGGGACAACCGCATTTACATCGAGCTGGATATTTGCAATTCAACTCCGAGTTACTTTTACCAGATCCAGTTGAATTAAAATTTGAATACAAATGCTGAATAATTATGTTGTTTTCCTTCAGGTGTCATTTTACCTGATCCTCAGTACCTCTGGAATAACTCTGGACACATCGGAAATCAGCACGGCTCTGCTGCTCACCACGTACGCCTCCACTCACCGCATTTAAAAACGACTGTTGGTTTTGGAGCGAATGCGTGCAGTCATTCACCGCGGCTGTGAATTTTTAAACCAAAGCGACCGCATACCCTGCCAATGGCCTTTTGTTCCCGTCGCTGTTATTTAAATGATACGTGAGCGTGGCACTGAGTGTCATGTTTATGAGGAATCTAGCGCATTAAAACACGAGTCTGTAACCTGCCGGGTGGTGCTCAGTGACAATGGTAGTGACGGCGACATTGGTGTTCCCCCCAGGACGAGCGAACAGCCAGATCTGAGCGCGTTGTCGGCCAAGCTGAAGGTGGTCATCGAGCTGGCGCTTACGGTCACGGGGTTCGTGAGCACCGCTCGCACTGCGACGTCATCGCCCGCGCCGCGATCGCGATTGCCGAGAAAACCTCGCGGGATGTTCACCGACCAAAGCAGGCTCACTCACATGCACGCGTCCTTTATTTCCTCAGCTTCACCAAGCCGTCCCAGGCGAAATTTGGAGGGGAGATCAGGGGAGAGTCGGTGATGAAGACAGAGGAAGACGTGGGAAGCCTTATAGAGTACGACTTCAAAGTGAGTGCTGTGGTGTGTCCCTTGTAAGCCACAGCGGCCCCGCGGTGCTGATGGGAGCAGCACCGCAGAGGCACGCACGTGGCACAGTTGCAAATGAATCCGTGCAGTAGCTCGGAGTGTTGCCAGCACTGAGCCTTGTTTCACCCCCACATCACTTGCTGACAACCCCTGGCAGCATTTTTATTATTTCACTTACGTCGATTTATTTTTTATACTTAAGGTAAAACAAATGCTTAGTGTAGGTTAAATAAGCTACCGCAGTGAGAGCGTATTGATACGTTGGATTTACATCCAAAACCTCATGCCTTGCAGTATGTAAAAAAACACTTGTAATTTTTTGTTGTTTCTTTTTTTGGTTAAGTTTTATTAGCCGTAAACTACAACAGCTAAAACGTACCACGTACGATCCTGGTTTTTCTTTTCATGCCAAAGGTTTTAAACTTGGGCAAGTCTCTGGGATCTCTGGGCAGCGCCTTCATCAGCATCTCGTGGCCGGCTGAGATCCCCAATGGCAAGTGGCTGCTCTACCTCGTGAGCGTGGAGATGGTGGGCACGCGGGAGACGCACTGCAAGCCATCGGTCAACCGCATCAACGAGCTCGGCCTCCAGGTAGGCCGGCCGGCTGACATGTCGTTGTCAACGACACGATGATGAGATATCGATTTTCATTATACGTTTATCGCGATATAGTGCTCCTGTAACTTTGCAATTGTTTTTCTGATGTTTTTTATATTTGTTGGGCGCCGCGAGATGTTAATTACCTCGCCTGATGTACAGGAGGTTGTGGGTTTGTTCCCGACCCTGACGCCTGTATATTTGGAGTTTGCGTGTTCTCCCTGTGGTCGTGTGGATTTTTCTTCGGGTTATCAGGTTTTTCCCTCCGCATTCAGAGACATACGAGTTTTTGGCTGCTATACATTTCCACGTGATAAGCCACTTCGTTGAGCGATCATTTGGGGTCAGGTCGCTTCTGTAAAAGAGCTATATAGCTTCATGGGTCTTACCTGGTAAAATAAAAATAGTTTAGTTTAGTGCTTTGCTCTGCTTGTAGTTTGGATGGATATTAATAAAAATCTGTTCAATTGTAGTTCACTCAATATAAGACTCCCCTACATGTTATGGACATTTTATTTAGGCTCGAAGAATACATATTCATTGCAACCTCTTATTTTATAAAGCTTACAGCGCACTTTGTCGGTGACCCCAAAATTAAATAAATAACCAACCAAATAAATAAATAGTGACACCAATTATGTGATATGACTGACGTTTCCATCAATGGCTTCTGAAAAAGTCTTGCAAATCACTAATTGAATGGGTTTCGATCATTAAGACAGTAAAAAAAAAGCTAGGCTATTAACGACATGTCAATATTTTCACTTAACGGACGATAACATTATTGTGCAGCTTTTGTCACACAATGTCTCGTCGAATTGCCATATCGAGGCAGCCTCATCTCAGGCAGCCGCGGGCAGTGCCACGCGGTCGCTTCCTTCTGCCGTCCGCTCGCAGCTTGCGCCCCCCGCTCACCGCGTTTCCCTCCTCAGAGCGTGCGGCAGAAGACAAAGCGACAGGCGCCAGAGCCGTCACCCCCCGCTCAGAAGGTGGCTCCAGAGATAAGTCCGTCCAACGACAAGCGGCGATCGCTCAAGCTGGTAACTGCCTGTGCACGTCTCCCCATCTGTGCAGATTGCCGCGTTGATGCGCGTCGCTATCTCATTTTCTGTGCAACACGAATATATGCAAAGTTTACACGTTGAATTTTGATTTAAAGCTTTCATGACTACAGGGATTTATATTCTTGGTTCATTCGGTAAAGTCATGTAGAAGGGACATAGTAAAATGATAAAAATATAAAACAATAAAATTCTCACGACGTTTCGACTGCAACACAAGCAATCATCATCAGGTGTGAAATCCACAGCAAGAAAATTTTCTTGTTTTATATTTTTATTATTTCCCTTCTACGTGACTTTACCGAAAGAACCAAGAATATTTACACATTGAGTTCCAATGTTTACAATTCCAATGGCAATATAGACCTCTGCTAGCGATGCGGGCTGCAGGTAATTGAATGGCCATAGTAATGATAAGGAATGGTGACAGTTGTGATAAATGATGATAACGTGATGGTGATGTGAATTTATGGGGAGTGATTGCGATAGACGCGTAGCGAAAGTATTTGGCAGTGACGGTGTAGATGGTAAGAGTGATGCTTGGCGATTGTGGCGGTGACAGCGAGGTATGGTGGGTTTTTATGAGCAATGGCGAGCGATGGTGATGGTGAAGTAGACTGTTGTGGTGATATCGATGGCGAGTGGCTGTTTGCGCGGTGTGCGTGCGTGTCCTTGTCTCCGGCAGGACTGTCGGGACGGCACAGCTCGGTGCTACACCCTGCAGTGTCCGCTCACAGCCATGGACAGTGTCGCTGAGATCAAGCTGCGGGCGCGTCTGTGGAACAGCACCTTCCTGGAGGTGCGGGGCATGCGGCTTGCACGCTGCATACACACGGCGATGCGCGCAAACTAGACACGCGTAAACCGGACACACGCAAACTAGACACGCGTAAACCAGACACACGCAAACTAGACACGCGTAAACCAGACATGCGTAAACCAGACACACGCAAACTAGACACACGTAAACTGGACACGCACAGCGACGCACGCAAACTAAAGATGAGCAAACGAGACACTCGCAAACTAGACACGCGCAAACCAGACACTCGCAAACGCGACACGCGCAAACTAGACATGCACAGTGATGCGCACAATTAAAGCTGTGTCCGCACGCTCACTGTGTTGGAAGTGCAAGCAGTTCAGATAAGTGAGATACACAGGTAATATGATTATAAGTGTGCTGCTTAGATATATTTGAAGTGAAAACTGTATATTATTGATGTCAATAGGCATGCAGCACTTTCTGAGAACTCTCTTGAAGCTGTTTCTACTTTACCAAGAACCCATTGAGATATTAAGCCTCTTACAAAGGTGACCTGGTGCTGTATATTTGCAGCTTTAATCAAATTGAAAAATAAATCACTCTGACTTGATCGGTATGAATGACCCAGCTGCTTTAATACATTTGTTGTTATTCTTGGTTCTTTCGGTAAAGTTACGTGACTTTACCAAAAGAACCAAGAATATGAATCCCTGCAGTCACGATAGCTTTAAATCGAAATGTGTTGTTGTTGTTTGTGTTCTCAGGAGTACTCCCACCTGGACCAGCTGGAGATCATAACGAGAGCTAAAGTTGGCATCTTGTCTCAAAGTCCCAACATTGTGATGAAAGACGCCAGGCCTGATGGCTATCCAGTAAGTTAACATATATGTAGTCTATTTATGTCTGCACAAATTACAAACACTGCAACGGTATTCAGTCTACGTAATATATTACACATGTATCTTGAGCCCAACTTTACATCTTTCTTTGTTAATCCATATAATCCATAATTGGTCGCGAAAGCCTATGTGTTAAACTTTCTTTGTTAAGTTCTTCAATAATTTCCCCTGTAATTTATTTCCATTGTTTGCTATCAGGATTCTCATAATAAATATTCAGACGGTTAACAACTTAACCGTTTATGTTTGTGGATTTATTAATACAATGCAATTTCACAAAACATTTCCAACATCACTGTGGATAACTTTAGCGGGGAGCATCTCATCTTAACCGACTCCCCCGCTGAAATGTATTTTCTTGACTTCACGCAGTCTTAGTGCTCTATTTTAAGCAATGCGTCGTATTTAGACCTCTGTTTGCGATGACCGCTTCAATGCTACACTGTTTTTTTTGTCGATGGGAGCGACGTGATTTCAGTGCGATTCTGGAGAGGCACGGCATGAGTTGCACGTGGGACAGCGATTCTCCCTGGTTTTGTTGTGGTTTTTGCCGTGGAAAAGATGTCCTGCCAAATGAGGCAGGAAATCTTGGTGGTTATAGCCAGGCTCGTCCATGGGGGGGGGGGGGCGTGCAGAGCCCGGGAAAAACTCACACGGCGTGGGCCCCCTGACGCCTTCAAACTAAACCGGCAGTATTACATCTGACACCGTCAGGTCGAAGCGTGGGGCCCCCCCAAAGCGTGGGGGGTGATCACCCCGATTTGCCGTACCCTAGGAACGGCTTTGGTTATATCACGATGTAAGCACGATTTGGGGGGGGGAGGTGGGGGGGGTGAATCTAACGGGCGTGGTTAAGTTCCTGATAAATCGTGGGTATGATGACGCCCTCTAGTGACGAGTGTGCCGGGATTACATAACAGCAGCGTGGATGGCGCTGGGTCGCCGAAAGGGGCACTGCGATTTTGACGATCTCATTGACAACCACTCACTCACTGCATTCCGAGTGAAAATCGCAGCCAGGAAAAAAAAACCGAGACTCGTTGGGCACGCGTTGCATACACATAGTCCGCTGGTACAGCCAAACATCTGTCTCGAAACCACATTTTTAAACCCATCAAACTGACCTTCAAAACGCACGCAAATGCACACAATTGTTTGTCCGCCTGAACAGCACGCAACTGAGGTTTGCATCGCGACGCAATTCACAACGAACGTGTGCGAAGGGAGCGATTCCAGCCTCGCCGTCGTTCGAGACGCAGCCGCTTCACGTTTGTCGGCAAACCCCCCCCCCCTCCTTTCCCCGGTGCAGGTGCGGCTCACGGTGTTCCCCGAGAAGACGGCGCCGCTCTACCACAGCATCCCGTGGTGGATCATCCTTCTGGCCGTGCTGGCAGGCGTCCTGGTGCTCGCACTTCTCGTCTTCCTCCTGTGGAAGGTGACGGCCACCAGCGCCACGGTCACCAGCTGCATACGGACGCTCTTAATCCATCGGCGCTGTTGTTTGCGCGACTTGGGGGGGTGGAGGAGGAGGAGGGAGGGGGGGGGGTGGAGCGAGCGGGTGTCCAGCACGCGCTGTGAACTCGCGAGATGTGCGCGGTCCTGCTCATGTGCCACCCACCCCGTTGCCCTGTCCCTTTGCAGTGTGGATTCTTCGCGCGCAAGACCACGGAGGCGCGATACGAAGCTAAATATCACAAAGCTAAGATAGAGGTCCAGCCTTCGGAGAAGGACAAATTGGCTACTGAGGCGTAGGGCTAACCAACCCCTTCTGTCCCTTCTTTGGTAAAGGTATACAAGCATACAGGTGCTCGGCTTATGTGCTGGTGATGGTGACTTTGGCTTGGAGGCAGTGAATGAATCCGAGAGGCACCGCTTTGCTCCTAAACCTCGGGCACTAAAGGCGTCTAACTGGCTTGTCTTGTCCCTCAGACAACCTCACTGCTCCTTATGCCAAAACCACTCTTTTTCGGTACTTGGATGTATGCGGTGTGCCGTGCGTTTCCTCTTCCCGCTGACGATGGTCTTTTTCACAGACGCTTGCCGTGACGGGTGCCACTAAACCTGTCCTGTGAATGTGCACGCTCACTTTCCTCACTGGCAAACGGTGGTCGTTAAGGTGTCACCATAAAATCGCGGTGCAAAGTATACTAACAACGACTGTACTTCAACCGAAAGCTTGGCAGCTGAAACAACCAAACTTATTTGAATGTAATTTCCCAAAGGTCACGTGAACTCACGCCTTCAGGAATGCTTATTGGCCTGCTTAACAACTGCCACTCTGGCAAGGAGAACTACACAGCCTTACCTCTGTTAAACAACGCATGCCAATGTGACCGACCGTCACGGACTGCTCGCTGGACGGTTTTCGATGTTCACGCTCATTTCTCCTCCTCCCTCGCCCGCCCGCCCGCCCGCTGCATGAAGTGTGGATTTTTCAAGCGCTCGCGTTATTACGACACGGTGCCGCAGTACCACGCCGTGCGCATCCGCAAGGACGAGCGGCAGCCGCGCGAGGCGGCGGCGGCGCCTCATCGACAACACAAGAGAAGGGAGTGGGTGACGACCTGGAACGAGCGGGACACGTACTACTGAGCACCCGGAGGCCATCCCCACGGTCCCGCCAGCAACCACCTCCTGCCCCACCCCCCACCCCACCCCACCCCCCCCATTATACAATTACATAAGGGGGCAACACCGATGCGGCGCCCCTTCTCAATCGGAGCCCCCTTCAACCCCACCAGTTGCTCTGTCTAAGCACCGGTTAGCAGTCGATAACTACTGTCAAGGGCGATTTCTCAGCAATGGCTTCAAGAAAATTCAAAGCTGCACCTCGTCGTGTTCCCTTGCTGACCTGATGCTTCACTGTTGCTGCAAGAATCGCTGGGATGGAAACTGCTCGACTCCACACTAGTTGGCCAATTTCTTTGGGCGCTTTTTTTCTGTTAAATTCAGCATAAAAGCTGCAGAGGCAGTTTCATCTTACACACGTGTTAAGAAATTTCCAAAATCTGGTGGATATTTTGGGATTTTTTTGTATTACGTTGGGACGTGTTTAGCTGGGCTGTCACCAGTATTTTGCTTAAATGAACACTACAAGTGGTCATTTTGACGAATGTGATTAAAGCTTCTTCTTTGACAGGCTAAGAATAATAATAGGTTAGTTGTATCCAGAATTACACCATTAACTGCGTTGCTTTTTTCTCTTATATATACAAGATAGAATATAACTGCCAAAGGCTCTTTTTTGGGCCGAAATCTTATCACAATGTTTTGTGAAAAAATTGTGTATATTTGTGTTAAAAGAAATCCAATGGTTGCAGTTACAGGCTACTGTGGTATAATTTAGAGGCTTGGCTTGTACGATCGATACGAGGGGACACGTAATTGGCTTTGTTACTCATGAGCGATGAAGTACTTGGACGTGTGCAATAGCAGACATGCCACTAAAGTTGCCGTGCCTTTGCTTACCGAAGACTTTACGTGCCGTGGTACTGTTCCTTTCGCTTTAGTCATACAAATGTAGAGCCTAAACTTTTGTAAATATGCTACCTTAGGAATTAAGAACGCGTACGGTACTTCTGGGCAGGCAAAATCACAGTGTGATCAACTACATTGCATTTTTGATGTACAATAATGCGGCACTGCATTGCGTAAAGTGTAATCCGATGTCGCACAATTGTTAAAGTGTAATAATTATACGACGTCGATGACAGCAGCAACGTAAACGATTCTTCATTTCGGCTTCACTACTGATACCCACCTACCAAACACACACACGCACACTTAAGACGAGCTATTATACGCATCTTCGTGGACTGTTATTGCAGCAGTGCCGAGCCGTTGCCATTAACGTGGATTCATGCAATGGACAGTGGAAATATCGAGCTGTTGTTTGAAAAAAGAAACCACGGGAACGCAAGGAATGGTGAACCGTGTTGTTGAGGTACAGTGCAGCCGACACGGCAAACTGTGCTGGAATGTAAAGACGAACGAACCCTCCTTATCTTTGTGCGTCCCAACAATACGAGGGGGGCTCGGCCGGCACTGTCAGGCAAACGTGAAAACAGCAGAAATAATCCCAGCAACGTTAAACGCCGTTCATTGTTCACGAAGCCACGCCACGATGTGGCTTCGCAGCCCGGTTAACACCAACCCGAGCAAACAAAAAGCGATGTGCCTGAACTGAAGGAAATCCAACATTGGTGCTATGGGGACAGCACTCGGTGTATAGAATGCAACTTCATGAATGTAAAGTTTTGACCTAAATGTTGTAACTTACTGGATTTCTTTTTTTACTCTTAACTGATGTGAAACTGTCAGCAGTTCACTGGTATACCTATAATGTATAATTATAGCGATGGGATTTCACGAGCTTAGCACGAGGGATTTCAATTTGCAAAAAACATTTTATTCAAAGTGTAAACTTTACGTTATGCACTGGTTAAGCTGTTTGCTGTTTAAATGTACAGAATAAATAAAGTATTTGTATGATTAGTATGCAGAGTGGTCACGTCTTTATTACTAAACCAATCTTGTTCCTTATCTTGCACCATGGACATTCTCATTCACCACCACTCCTGCCAACATCCCAATCATGATGGCAAACTACTACAGAAATACATTGTGATTAAAATGGATTATCGCAATTGTTGTGGTCAACTGCATTCAGTGTTGTAGTAAATTGCTATCAGATGTATTATTTTATGAATGGCTATGGTTGTATTGTGAACTGTATTGCAATGATACTGTTGTGGTTCAATCTTGATTTGAAGCTTTCGTGACTGCAGGAATCCGTACTTTGTAGTCGTGGTTATTGTTCTGCGGATGCTGGTTATGTTATTGCTTTAGGAGTATGTTATAGGGATTACCCTGTTCTCGTTCTCTTCCCAGAAAATACTGCAGGGCCTCGTACCGCCATCGGTACACATTCACCATTTCCGTATTCCAGCTATTGCTGAGACACTTGTAAATGTTTAGTCACAAACGGACCCAGACTATTGCAACTCTTTTCCTCTATAGCCTCCCCAAATCCCTCCTCTGCATCTATAAACAAAATCACATCACTCTCACATTGCTCCGCTGGCTCCAATACAATCCCAGATACATTTAAGATCATACTTGCCTCTTGAAGCGGAGTTCTTATACGCCTGTGGAAATGTATTGCCCCAAGTTAATTGCAAATATGAGAAAGGATATGATTTTATAGGAAAACGGGCAGAATTCCACCAAAAAGTGGCAGAATATGGTCAAAATATCTCTACAAGTCCGGACTGGTGTCTCAAAAGCACAACACCCCCCCCCCCCCCCCCCAATATTGAGTGCAACTTCAGAAGATTGTGACTTAAAACTTTCGTGACTGCAATAATTCATATTCTTGTTTTTTTCGGTAAAGTCACGTAAATATAGAACAAAAAATCTAAATAATTAAATTTAATAAAAATAATAAATTGAAAATAATAAAAGCAAAAACCCCACGACGTTTCGATCACAACACGTGACTTTACCGAAAGAACCAAGAATATTCAGAAGATTCACCACGTAATGCGTATACCGCCCTCTGCTGAGCAGACATGCTCAAAACCAGTTGGCTGTAACTTTTAATGAAACACAGCACTGCATTTGTTTTAAGTCAAATCCTCGAGCTTAGGTGGAATTAAAGACAAATATTCACAAAAAAGAAACATTCAGCTGATTTAACCAGTTTATTATTTTACTCAACTCGTGGAAAATATTACACATTTTTAGATGAACTACTCTTATCTTCTAAAATCAATGACAAGATACACAAAAAATGTCAAATACCAGCAAAGCTCCTAAATAAGGTCACAAAAGCAATTTCACTAGTCCAAATAACTTCAAAAAATGGAATGTATCCTGTCTGCAATGTAACAAATTAAAAATATATATTCCAGTAGTAATCCCACAATTATAAAAATCCAATGTCGAATGTATTTCTAAACCTACTGAAAGTAAAACTGCTTTAGATGAAAACCCGTATTTGCTAGCAAGTCATTGCAGCAGCCGGGCTAATGTTGTGCGTCAACATCACAGAATGTATTTAAACTCAGAAGTTAAATCAATCAATGCTCGAATAAATGGACAGTAAAGAGCGCAATAATCCGGGTTAATGAAAACAAATGCTTCCACAATATATACCCTTTGTTAACAACAAAATCCACAACAAAATAAAATCCCAACAAAAGCAGACATAAAATAATTACAGCCCTCATCAGATCAAGCTACACCAGTGCACTTGCAAGATATTTCTCAAATCCCAACAGTTTAAAATCTATCCCAGCATAACAGCAGCATCGTGAAGGCGAGCGAAAAAAAACCAACGCTATACTGTGTCGATTGTTTAAAAAGGATACATTAAATGCGTTGATCAAAATTACGCTTGAGCATAAAACCAACCTTACATAATTAAGAGTTTCCAGTGTTTTGACGGCAACGGTAGTGCTCTGTAATAAACAGTGGTTCACATTCAACGCTTGGCAAACGTACAAACATTTGGCGGGTGGCCCTAACTGATCACCGCTCAGACGCGCAACAGCGAGCGAGTTGCTGTACTCATCTACTTGTTCTGCACGCGGGGGGCACCTCTCCCCTCTGCCCCCTGCGTGATGACGACGCGCAGAGTGCGAGGAGGTATCACACCCACAGTTAAAATGACAACGGTATTTCCTTGTAAAAAGCACACGCCAGTAGTAATTACGAAATCACACCTAATTTGTTTTCAAAGTGCATTCCTTCATTGTTTACATTGGTCCCACAGTTAAAATATGAAAAAAGTTCATTATTAGCAAGCGATCATTAAAGTAGAGCCTATATTTACAGGAGGGAGTGACTTGAGTTTTTTTTGGAATCCACATTAATACAAAATATAATTCGAGTAAAACCCCTCCCCCCAAATCACTCTCATATAAAAAAAACTCATCAATAAGAATGAATAACAGCTAAGATATATCAGGTACCCTGCCAGTATCCCTGTTAGCTTAGGGGCCCACGAGGTCCATGTTATGTTTCACAATTCAGCTGTCGAGCAGACACTACATTCGTTTGACGGAACTACCTGCACACCTTTTGTAAGGCCGAACAACAACAAGACACCACTGCGCTCGAAGACGGGCGTTTCAGCAACTCGGGTATATGAAGGCACTGCCTGGACAAGGCTACTCCCGGGGCACCTGGAGACACGAGGTTAACTACATGTGGCTGTGCCCAATGGCCTCAAAGCGTGGCCGTGCGGTGCCTTGCACGTGACACGCACACGCATTTCTCGGTTTTGTTCATGCATCCGACTGGCCACTCGGGATGCCGTCAACCTTCTTCCTTGACTTTTCCTTCAGTTTTGCTTGCTTATCTTGAGCCTTGCGCTCCTTCTCAATGGCCATCTTGAGATCCTTCAGTTTCTTCTTGATAATGGTTCGGTCGCTTACATCGGTAACGCCCAGAGCCTAGGGATCGTTCACAACCCACATTGCCGTGCAAGTTAACACACAACAAGTCAGAATCGCGTATTGATCATGAAGGTATTTTCTTTACGGAAACCATTAAATCCATGCACAACGTATGGAGCATCCCTGTCACATTCCCATAATAATATGGAAGGACAATATTTCGCACAAATCAAATGGGGGTTGTTTTGTCCTATTTCCCTAATTTTATTACAACTGTTCTGTTCGTGTCATGCCACATGTGTTAATTTCACAACGGTTGCAGAGGTGTGCATTAACTAACATGAAAATATCCCACGGAAGTTGATATCACAGATATATCAAGAGGTGACCTCTTATGCACACTAGGAGGAGCTGTTTCATTGCACCCTTAAATAAGTTGGTCGCTAGTGAAACTAAAAATTTAGTTTCTGTCCCACCTAGGCTTACCAAATTCAGTAAAAAGAATACAATTTATCTTCATATAATTGCTTTTTTTAAAGTCATCGGTTAGCAAGAGCAATAATTATCGAATGTGATGTCTCTATCTTGTGTGTGTATGCTCTCCAATCTACATGTCCTCTTCCTGTCTCCAAGTGTAATTCGAAGTATGCACCTCCCTCTACGCTTCTTTGCACACATTCATCCAGCAGTGGATACATCACAGCACGGTTTGGCTATGTATGGTGCGAAAGAAATCCAACATACGTACATATATCACAGCTGACAATGGTAATTATGCATAATCATGATTTAAAGCTTTCGTGACTGCAGGGATTCATATTCTTGGTTCTTTCGGTAAAGTCACATAGAAGGGAAACAATAAAATAATAAAAATATAAAAATATTTTTATTATTTTATTTAAATAATAAAAATATAAAAATATTTTTATTATTTTATTTTATTTGATTGTTTCCCTTCTACGTGACTATACCGAAAGAGCCAAGAATATGTCTAATCATGTTATTAAGTCACGCGCCTTAAGAAAATCGCTATAATCTTTAAAAATAGTTGAACGTTGGTTGGCGGATGTGGTGGAAGATGCCAAGAGAGGTTGACTACCGACACTGATAGGGGCGTCTCTGGCAACACCCCCGAGCACTGCTGATGACAAGCGCAGGCCCTCTGAGAGCAAGGATTTCAAAATAGGAGGCCGATGTCACTTGTGCCGATATACATGCCCTTTAGACTTCCAAACGCGAAAAAATCGCGTAACAAACGTTACGTTCGTGACTCCACGTGCCAGGTGTGATGTTTCTCCGCACACCTTCAGCTTGTTGATGTCCAGCTGCAGAAGATCCTCCCCACTCACATTCTTGTCCTCGAACTGCTGTGTGTACTGCTGCATGCCCAGCACCATGAGCCACTGGCACACCTGCTGTGACGTCCACTCCACCACCTCACGGTTTTGCCAGTGGTGACCCCGAGATGGGGACGGCTCGTCCTTGGCTCCAGGCTGACGACAAAAGGAGTTTAGGCACAAGGTTGATGCATTCAGTCCACTCTCTTCATAATTGTAAAGGTAGCACAAATACAGAACAGTCCGGTCTCACATCCTGCCTTGATGCAGTATCAGCTTGGATTGGTTATAACCGCAGGTAAATGTATCCAAAGAGATAAGTACTTGCTGTAATTGGCAAAGAAAGCAAGAAACCCAGTTTGAGTGTAAACCTCCTAACCTGTGACATTACTCAGTGGAAGAGAGTCCAAAACTTTGGAATTATCATTGATTACAAGCTTTAATTCTTTCTCCACACATCACAATCTGCAGGACTTCTAACTGCGCAACAATTCCCACCTCTGTAATTTATTTACCGCAGCTGCTGCTGAGACCTTAAACCATGCCTTCATCACATCTTGACTGAACTATTGCAACTCTCTCCTATGCGGCTTCCCCAATTCCCTAGTCTCCGAACTCCAGGTGATGCAAAATGCTGCTGCTAGTCTTCTCACCCACACCTCTAGACACCCTCACACCAACACACCAATCCCTCCACTGGTTCCCAATCCAATCCCAGATCGAACTCACCATCTTCAAGATCCTCCATGGACTCTTCCCCCGCCTACCTCTCCCCGCTCATCTCACTCGGCTCCCGTCCATTCACTCTACGCGTCAGCAACCAAGGCTCTCTGCTGAAGCCCCCAGTCAACCTTCATTAGGTGTAAGGTCGATCATTCTCGTTTACTTCCCCTTAGTCTGGAACTCCCTTCTCCAAGTCATGCACGCTGTCGACTCTGCGTCCCGATTCAAATTCAGGATTAGGACTTGAATTTATTTTCCTCTGGCTATAGCCGATTGCTGTCCCTATAAATAAAATACGGCCACTGTTTCTGTACAGAGAGAGCCTTGAAAGAAAGACACTTTGAGACGATGTAAATCTAGAAGTGCTGTACTCTTGTGTTTTACAGGCTTGTGTGTGTGTGCGTGTGTGTGTGCACCTGGCTGGCAGCAAGAACGAAGGTGTGCGAGTGGCCCGTGGCCTTGGGCTCCGTGATCATGCCGGGCAGCTCTTCCGATGCGCCACTGCCGGGGCTGAAACTGCCACTGCCGGATGACCTCTGCGGAGCAAGCAACCCCGCCGCCCCCACCAGCCACACAGGTTCAGTGCTCACCTCGTCCAGGTTACACTATCCACAACTTCATTTGATACATAAAAAGGAAACGGCTAGGAGTATAATTCTGTGCAAAAAGTGCACGAGACTCCTGCAATGTTTTACAAGCTCATCACCCTTCTACACAATGCAGATGCATTCAAACACAAACACCAGAGAGAAAGCTAAACAATTTGATCACAGCCTTGTCACACCTTCCTAATAGATGGCCAGATTTGACATTAACTCTTGTCAAAATTTTTATTATATTCGAATAAATGTAACATATTGTGATTCTCAAAACAAGAAGACCACATACATGCCATGTGGTATTTTAATTAAGCAGTCTGGTTTGCAGCTCTGAAGCCAAATTAAACCCCTGCAGTGCTAATTATTTAAATAGAAACTAAGTTGCCTTACAATTCCACTTCACTTATACATTCAATCCTCATGGGATCAGTATGACAGGGGCGATGTGCACAAACATTACATATTAAATAATGGGCGATGATTAAAATGTTACCTGCTGTTTGTACATGTGTATCTCACACGATATGGTTGTTGCAATCCTGAGCAACAAAGGATCAATCGACACTCATCGAGATCAGTGCGAGTAATCTTTGATTGAACGCAAGAGTTAAAACATTGAATATATCTCTCCAGCTTTTTAAACGCTTGAAAGACGTGAAATGGTCGTGGTTTTGTTTGCCTAACAACGTCCATGCTACGGCTGTGATTTATTGTTGCTTTGTCGGCAAAGAGTTTAGGAATTCCACAACAAAAGCATGTGATCCACCACAGATCTCCTTCTGCCAGTTGGGAAATAACCACATTCAACAGAACCTGTAATGCTTCTCAAACGGTGTTTACGTACACACACAAAAAATACAAAATTGAGAGACATGCCCAGAGGGTGTAACAGTTAAAGTTAGAGCAGTAACTAGACCCCGCTTATTTTCAGCCAAACCATTTCTGGGTTTCAGCTGCCGGAGGGCAGCCACGGTGAATGTAAATTGCACTGCATGCTGGTCAAAACTGCCTCATTAAATGGCCAACTATAAGTCGATCCCAAAATGGTTTCAGGGCTGATAAACGGAGTCTGTTTATGCCCCAAAGTATGTTACAAGCTGACCATGCACATCACAGAGCATGCACGAGTGTATAGCAACCGCACGGACATCTGTGTACTATACCCTCAGTGAACGTCTGAAGAAGGACGTGAGAGCTGAGGTCGTCTGAACGAAACAACCAACATGGCCACGTCAATTTGGATTTGAGAACGGTACATCCTGAGCTCTCAGTTTAACGGCATAATGTACAAAACAACTTAATAATAAGACATGAATATCACTTTTAAGCAAATGGCAACAACTTTAAAGAAACATATATAAAATCTATGAAACAAGACACATGTGTAAGCATTATTTAAATGTCTCACAAAAGTCCATACTAATGGTGTACAATACCAGACATTGAATGCATAGCCATATTCTCTCATCCTTGGATTTATGACACAGTGACCCCCCCCACCCCCTAACCCCCACCTTAGCGATGAGTAGGAGAGGCTGCACTTTGGCCTTGCCTTGGCCTGCTGTTGCAATCTAGCAGGGCCTGCTGCTTCAACCCAGTGACTCTACAACTCTTTGACTAGATAGGGCTGCATTAATCTATGACATGATGAATGAAACATAATAAAAGTAAATGTATCCCAAGATGCTAATAACTCGGAAATGTAGTTAGGCCACATTAATCTTAGAGAAAAACGCATCCATGATCTTCACACACAAAAAAACACTAGTTCATGTTGAATGCTGCCACTGGAGAGTGAACCAATGAGTGTGGGGGCCTTAGTAATCGTGGCACGCCCAGGGGAGGCTGTGCGCTTGCCCAGGACTGGGTGGGCACCTTCTGCTGACTCCCCGCGGTGGCAGGGCTGCTCTCGGTGAACTCGTCCGAAGAACCGGAGCCACGGCGGGTCCAGGGCATGCGCATGCACGAGGTGGTGACGGGCGGCGGCGGCTCGCGCTCCAACGTCGCGCTCCCCGCCCCGAGGCTCTCGTGGGAGTCTCTGCACAGGGGTCAGGGCGATGGTGGTGAGGTCATGTGAGAGGGGGTCACCCCGTGAGAGGTCACAGGAGGAGAGTGGCACGTTTGACACGGGGTCAAAACTGAAATGGTAGTGAAAAGGGGTTACGTGTTCTGCGTCAAAATCACTTGGGAGTTACTCTTCTCACATCACAGACCGACGATATGAGGAAACTTTAGCTGATGTATTAGCTTCTGTTTGTTAGGGCACACAACTGTGTAATATTATCCTGTTGTAATCTTGAAAATCCAATGTAGTTTATTGGCATGCTCACTTGCTCGTTGCAGAGTAGCGGTTGGGGTGTCTTTCAGACTTCTTTCCTTTGCCCATGGAACGTCGCAGTGGGGCCCTAAGTCACGAGAGAATATACGAGGACAACATGAGAGATGGGAGTACGAACCACAATTCACACTGGACTGGGACATGTTATCATAAATGTAGTCTTGGTGCATTTCCACAAATGTTTACAAGTTGTGTACCTACAGACAAAAAAAACATCGCTTATAATTTACATTTTTACAAAGCATAACACTCCTGTTCGCAATGTTACGTCCAGATAAGGATTTTAAAAAATTAAAACAGAACAAATTAGCTTGTTATGATAATAATTACAACGTTACGTTATTTATTTGAGTTATTTATAATTACATAGCAATAGACCTTGCGCACTGTGAACTGAAACACCACACGGAATGCCACGGACTCACCCGAGGAACTTGAGCGGCCCCTTCCCCAGGGAAAGGCGCTCGCGGGAGCCCACGCGCAGGGGCCCTTCTTCGCTAGCGGCACCATCCTTGTTCCTCTCGTCTGCCAGAGCAACATCAGAAGCACATGCAGCACATGCAGCAGCATACAGCAACAGCAGCATGCAGCAGCAGCACACGCAGCAGCAGCAGCAGCACACACAGCACACGCAGCAGCAGCAGCACACGCAGCACACACAGCACACGCAGCAGCACACAGCACACGCAGCAGCACACGCAGCACACACAGCACACGCAGCACACGCAGCACACACAGCACACGCCACACAGCAGCACACGCAGCACACGCAGCAGCACACAGCACACGCAGCAGCACACGCAGCAGCACACAGCACACGCAGCAGCACGCAGCAGCACACAGCACACGCAGCAGCACACACAGCACACGCAGCAGCACACACAGCACACGCAGCAGCACACAGCACACGCAGCACACGCAGCAGCACACGCAGCACACGCAGCACACGCAGCAGCACACACAGCACACGCAGCACACGCAGCAGCACACACAGCACACGCAGCACACGCAGCAGCACACAGCACACACAGCACACACAGCACACGCAGCAGCACACACAGCACACGCAGCAGCACACGCAGCACACGCAGCACACGCAGCAGCACACGCAGCACACGCATCAGCACACACAGCACACACAGCACACGCAGCAGCACACACAGCACACGCAGCACACGCAGCAGCACACACAGCACACGCAGCAGCACACACAGCACACGCAGCAGCACACACAGCACACGCAGCAGCACACGCAGCAGCACACACAGCACACGCAGCAGCACACGCAGCAGCACACACAGCACACGCAGCAGCACACAGCACACGCAGCACACGCAGCACACGCAGCAGCACACGCAGCACACACAGCAGCACACAGCACACGCAGCACACGCATCAGCACACACAGCACACGCAGCACACGCAGCAGCACACAGCACACGCAGCACACGCAGCAGCACACACAGCACACGCAGCACACGCAGCACACGCAGCAGCACACGCAGCACACGCAGCAGCACACACAGCACACGCAGCACACGCAGCAGCACACAGCACACACAGCACACGCAGCAGCACACACAGCACACGCAGCAGCACACACAGCACACGCAGCAGCACACACAGCACACGCAGCACACGCAGCAGCACACGCAGCACACGCAGCAGCACACACAGCACACACAGCACACGCAGCAGCACACACAGCACACGCAGCACACGCAGCAGCACACACAGCACACGCAGCAGCACACACAGCACACGCAGCAGCACACACAGCAGCACACACAGCACACACAGCACACGCAGCAGCACACAGCACACGCAGCAGCACACACAGCACACGCAGCAGCACACACAGCACACGCAGCAGCACACGCAGCACACGCAGCAGCACACGCAGCACACACAGCAGCACACACAGCACACGCAGCACACGCAGCAGCACACGCAGCACACGCAGCACACGCAGCAGCACACACAGCACACGCAGCAGCACACGCAGCACACGCAGCAGCACACGCAGCACACGCAGCACACGCAGCAGCACACACAGCACACGCAGCAGCACACACAGCACACGCAGCACACGCAGCAGCACACGCAGCACACGCAGCAGCACACACAGCACACACAGCACACGCAGCAGCACACACAGCACATGCAGCAGCACACATAGCACACACAGCACACGCAGCAGCACACAGCACACGCAGCACACGCAGCAGCACACACAGCACACGCAGCACATGCAGCAGCACACGCAGCACACGCAGCAAGAAGAACCACGCAGCACATGCAGCAGCATACAGCAACAGCAGCATGCAGCAGCAGCAGCATGCAGCAGCAGCACACGCAGCAGCACACAACAGCAGCAGCAGCACGACCACATCAGCACCAGGTGATCTCACCGCTCCAGCAGAGCGAGCTTTCAAGTTACTTGATTTGGCGCTTTCGTGACTGCAGGAATTACTCTGGTTCTTTCAGTAAAGTCACGTAAAGAGAGAAAAGAATAAATTAAATAATAATTATTTAATAATTAATTAATTAGTTTTTTACTCATTATTTTCTCTTTGTATGTGACTTTATCGAAAGAACCAAAGAGTAATTTCAAGTTACTTGTTTTAATTTACTTGTTTATAATTTTATTCAGCAGAGGCGAGCTGGTCCCGCTGAGATCCTGAGTTCTCATAAGGGCTGGCCGCCGTTGCTTAAACGGTGTTCTCAAGCATGGCAATTTGCTGGCCTCAGTCCAGTCAACAATGACAAAACCGTCGTATTAAATTTGGGTTTGTACTTAATTCGGCTATATTCTAGCGCTGAAATTGTATAATGTTAGTTTGACTGTCATGCGATGAACAATCTCATAGCAGAGTGTATTGGAAAGCATGTCTATTGCCTATTGTCTAAATAATAAATAGGCCACTGGAAGGATGTTTGCTGATAAGGTCTATGAAAATAATAATAATAATAATCTTCTGCAACTCTCCTGTCACATCAGATGCATTGTTTCTGTCACATTTCTGAAGGGATTATTTGTCTCATGATTTGGAATTGGAGAAAAGACAAGCAACACAATTTCACTCAGCAAAATACATTCCCTGAGGTGGTAAGGGTGTCCGTGGCATGCTTCCATGAATGCGATGACTCATTAAAGGGCATGCTCTTTAAGTAATGTACAAGTAGGGATATTTAAATAAATATATATTACATTATAAAAAACACTTGCTGTCCTCTGAAGTATTTTAGTTTTGAGAACATTGAAATCAACAGAAATATATATATACACTTTCCTCTCCAGTCCTTCCCGCACCTCCGATTAGCATGGTTGGCTACGTACGGTGCGAAACAAGTTCAACATACATACATACCCTTTGACTTTTTCTTCTTTTGCTGGGGTGTGGTGTCACCATTCTTGGCCTCTGCTGCCGCTGCGGTTGTTTTTCCAACGCCGAGCGAGGCATCGGCGGCAGTGGCAGATTTAGCCGACAGCTCCCCCATGACACGCGTGTACACGGGCAAAGAAGAGAGCGCCTGGGCGGGAGTGTACCGTGGCACAGCCGTCACTTCTGCCCCTGCCAACTCATCTGCAGCTGGGTTTGTTTCTGGTGCAGTTGCCCGCGCCAGGCCAGGCTCGAGGGAGCCCGTGGGTTCTGGTGCCTCACGCTGGGCGAGGCTCGAGGCCGACATCCCGATCGCCATGACTGCTGAGAGCATGTCAGAATCCTCCCCGCCAGTCTCCCCGCGTGTCTCGGAGCCAAAGGTCTCGTTCTGCGGAGAAACTGGGCTTTAGTTGCTCGCGCTATGCCAGGTTTTCGAAGGCGGCCGTCGACGCGATCCATTCGATCGTGAGGAAATGGAACGTGTCGACAGCTGCCGCAAGAAACACAGCTGTACATGCAGATTGTTGTGAAACGACATTCAATAGTGACTCGAGAAATCGGTTTAAAACACAAGTGTGGAAAGTTGGTTTACAATTTATAGTTTATGATCACCAACTCCTGGTTTTCAAACCAAACCCAAATAATGTTAGCAAATGTCATCCATCTATATATTTTTTTCTGGCAATGTCTGTTTCAGAAATATTGTGTACTTAGCAGAACAAGCCCCCTCCCTCCCCACTCGGGCACCACTACCATACTTGTTGACCCAGGTCACCCTTGTAAAAGAGACCAATCTAAATGGGTTCTCATGTGGTTATCCACTGCAAGATGAAGGCCTCCACACAACATCTGCATCCTTCACAAACCTGCGGTGCCACAATCTATCCCCGTTCCGGCACACAAGCCGATGTCAATCGCTCCATCTCCGTGTTAGCTTGGGCCTCCATTGGCTGTCATTGCAACGTCAGTCTCATCCGTCGGCCATATTCCCTTTCTAGCAGTGTCCTGTTCAAGCCCATCTATATACCGTCCTTAACAGTCAACATGTCTCTTATCTGTATTTTTTTTCTGTGATCCATGAGCTCTTCTCTTCACAATGTCTTTGAAGTTAAAACTGATTTTTTTTTTAAACACAATGGAAGCCGCTGGTATTCCTCATCAAGACGATTTCGGATACGTTTCGATTCGATTATCTGGTTGCTCACGTGAAAACATTTTAAACAAAATGGATTCAGCAATAGGTTTGAACATGATAAGTGTTCCAAAAAACACACAGATCTATTACAGCAATATACACTGTAAATAAAGCTAATGGTTACTCTTGGAGAAAAATGCATACAGCGGGATGAATTATTGAGCAGGCACATAATCTCGGCAATAAAGCGGAGTTGGCTGCGCACTCACTGCTGGAAGGACTGCATCCTCCGTGCGACCGGCAACCTGCTCCGGAGTGGCGCCCTCCAGGGTCACCCGCAATGGGGTCATGCTCTCCGGGGTCGCGTGCCCTGCGTTCGCCCGCACCGGGGTGGCCCGCTCTGGGGTCACGCCCTCCGCGGTCGTGCCCTCCGGGGTCGCGCCCCGCAGCAGAATACGTGTTGGCTGCTTGCGCTTCGCCTTCACCAGGAGCTTGCACCTTGGACTTGTGAGCGCTGCTGTCCAGACGTTGTGTCTGGGGCACGAGGTCATCGAAGTCTGCATGCAATCCCACACACACACACCCCCAAGCGTACTAATGTGTACCTTTTGGTTCCGGTTCTGTTAATCTCACTCGTTTCTCTTGCTCTCATCTCGCTAATCAGTATCTCTAAGCCCTGGTGGGCCATGGCTGAATGGGCAGCTGCAACAGCCTGCACAGGCCACATCTGGCCCCATGGGCCGCTGGTTGAAAAAACATTTCTATAGAGCAGAGGGCACCCAAAACAAACTAGGATACCTCAATGCAAACCTTCATTGAAACATTTAAGACACTAGAATAAAAAAACTACTTTTTGAATATAATTTCTAGATAGCATCTGAATCAATGGCAGCTTTGCTTCGTGTCGTACCTGTGACTGGAACAATGGATACAGTTCCAGCTGTGTCTTGCTTATTTTCTCCTTGGGCTTTCACAGCTTCTTCATGAACCGATGGTAGGATATCATTCTGACCAACGTTAGAAACCTCTAAAATCTTGACATCAGAGATGCCAATTTCTGTAAAACAATCAACAAGCATAGTGTATAGAGTATATATTGTAAAGTTTAGTATACAGTGTCATTGCTTATGTAACTAAATCAAGATAACACCAGGGATCTGTATTTTTTACCAAATGTCCATCCACAATCGGCAAGAGTGCCGATTAATTAGTCGGGTCATTGACAAACTCTCAATCTCTTCCCATCCCAAACAACACACTCACCTTTTACACGACCGTCCATGGCAATGGTACGTTTCATTACCGTCGGCAGAAGTTCTCACACGCGCATAAAAAGCACTCACAGTTTCACGAGACTGCTGAAACATGAAAACATTGGCAGCCGATGCTGCCATGGAGGCCTAGCAGGGCGAGGCGTACAGTGTAAGGTGAGATCCACTGTAAGGAATCACGGAGCAAGCAGTCTGCAGCGAGCGCAGATTCCAGTATAGCAGCGCACGCTGGCGGCATGCGCCGGGTGACGAGCCCAGGGTCGCAAGCGCGGAGTGGGCGGCCACAGTCATCAACATCTCCTCAGGAGCAGGCATTTTTTCCCCTTAAGGTTTAAACCAAAAAGTGTTACATCTTATTACGTTGTATCATTCTTACGGTAGTCTGCCCAGAAAGCCTCACTTAAGAGTCAAGACTCGTTTTCTAGGGGGTACTGCCAAGATGGGAATCACAACCCAGGCCCCCTTTTGCTGCGAGGCACGAGTGGTGACCGCTTCTTGATCGCATTAACATACCGGAGCATAAGCCATATCACGTCGCATCAAACGCCAGGTAAATACTTTCAGTAAAAAATTACGCTAGCATAATATTCATGCAAAAGCACAGAACACATTGCAAAGCACGTATAATATTAGAGGCTGTTTTCTTCCAATACCATGGAAGTAACTTTAAATTTAAAAACATATCACTTTGCAATGCCATTAAATATGACACTCAGAAGCATAAAAATAAACTGCAATAAAAAAACACACACACCACTGGGGACTGCTTCTCGTGCCTCACGGGAGACCTCCGGAGGCTTCATGAAGTCAGCCTTCGCCTGGTGCAGTGCTGCCATCTGCAGGAGGCACACAAAGCGCAACTCAACGCAACCGCGCGCAAAAAAAACAAGAAATTCGAGGCTACAACAGAGGTCGCAAACGGGTTTTGATTCCTTACCCGTACCCGGCCGCACCAGGGTCGCAAACGGGTACCCGTACCCGCCGTACCCGTACCCTACCCGTACCCAGCCGGGTACGGGTATCGGGTACCTGATTGCGACCTCTGGGATGAAGCCATGTTGCAGGCGCGGGTGGGTTGATTCTAGGAACTTGAATTGTGAGAAGAGACAAGACGTTGGGAAATGAGTGACAAACAGTTACTCACCAGTGACTCACGGTCTACCCGTACCCGGCCGCACCAGGGTCGCAAACGGGTACCCGTACCCGGCCGGGTACGGGTAGCCGGGTATCGGGTAGGGTACGGGTATCCTGTTGCGACCTCTGGGCTACAATTGGGACGACGAAAGTTGTTGCGGCCCTTTTACCTTCTCCACGCGCCCCTGCATCTGCTGCTCTTGCCTCTCCTTGAGCTCTTTGTTCGTTTGATCCATAGCCGTCTTGAACGATGCCGGCAGTGTGCTGCAAACCACAGAGCAAGGTTGAACTCACAAAGCAGAAGCGTTGTTACAAGCAACTAACAGCCGCGGGGGGAAGAGATCGGAGACGGAGTTTGCATCTGTCCGCTTCGTTCATCTGCCTCCAATCGCAGGCATTTTTTCGTTTCTCATTTCCTGAGAACTGCTTTTTGTGTTTAGTTCGTCAACCTTCTCCCGCACCTCCGATTGGTACGGTTGGCTACGTACGGTGCGAAAGACGTTCAACATACATACGACGACGTGTTATATACATGTCGCAGAAAAATAAATGAACACATCATGTCAACACGAGCAGTCATCGGGGTATCCACCAAACGTGCTCGGTAGGGCTAAATTAGCGATATACAGATTTCAATGCCGATTCACATTCACACCTGTTAAGACAGCAAAGTTGCTTCTCTTAAAATGTACGACAAACACCTCGTTCTCATTATCTAAACTTTACATGCAGAGATTCCTACTTCTAAGATCTTTTTTCTTTACCTCTGTTGCGATAACTTTCTGTTGTTGTTTATACCCTTTGTTTTCATACCACTTCTTCATTTGTTTGTTCGAGATTTAGCCTTTCAGGTGATTATGCATAAAAGTATTGTACAGCACAGATGCAAATAGCATGAACGACGCTGAAAAAAAAACTGAACTTATGATAAATACCAATAGTCGCACGAAGGCTCCCCATTATTCACAAGCAACATTTTTAAAAAGCAAACATTAAAAAAACAGATCCACTTGGCTACAATGTGCTATACCGGAGACAAAGGTCTAAAGGATTAGTTTAAAGCAGTTAATGCCTTTTTGCTACTATGGGATTAGTTTAAATCCTGAATGCCTTTCCGATACAATAGAAACACATCCACTCGGATAATATAAAGTCTGGGCTCAATTCCCGGGGCATTTTATGGAATGTATACCTCTCCAAGTTTCACGAGCATGTGCTAGATATGTAAAGTATGTGCTTTTTAATGGTACTTGCTTCATGCATTCGTCATGACTGTACAACAGCCAGATAAATGCTTTCGGGTTACTTTTCATTAAGACTGTAATATGCGTTTCTGTAAAAAAATTATTATGCAAGCCATTTAGAGATGCCATGCCATTTAAGCGCCCCATAAATACAAAACCTGATCCTTATTGCGAGAATTAACACCCCCCCTCCTTGCTGACGAGTGCCCAATTAAACCCGCAGCGTGGTCCTCTTTCTAACTCCGTTGCTGGCAGGCTGCGCTTCATACCCAAGCAGCTCCTGCGGCAGCAGCATGACGAGGTGCGTGTACTTGGAGCTCAGATCGTCGTAACGCAAGCGGCTCTCCTTCAGGAGCTCCTCGGCATCTCGGCTCTGGCCCTGCAGCCGCCCTGCCTCCTCGCGATTGTCCTGGATTGTCCCGAGAAGCATCGTCTTCTCCCGCCCCCACTCCTGCTTCTCTTTCTCCAGTTCTTTTATCTTAACGACAAGGGAACATGTCACTTCAGTAGCCCCACGGGCCTCCAGATGACCTCGATTTGAGCCTGCTGGCACGCCGAGTTTTGCAGCGAAATACAAATCAACTCAGTGCAAGTGACAAGCCTTGATGGCCACCACTGTGTCAGTCTCACACACAGCTTATTTCGTTACACTTATGCTTTTCAGTTACACTGTGTGTATGTGAATGGCAAAAAAACTACATCTATACGCCCAAAAAACAAGGTGATGTGGCACAGCATCTCTGTTTGAAGGACCGCAAAGGAATATTTATGTTAAATTGCACATCATATTATTACATTTACCATGGTCAGATGACTCATTTTTGACAAAACGTCTACATTTATCACAGCGGTGGTATTCATTGAATGGCTTCTGTACTTGTGCAATCAAATAAATTATCTCAATATAAATGTTTACCTTTTGCATCAGTCTTGATATTTCTCTTTCCTTTGCAGAATGTGCATTTTGCAACTGAGAAAAAGCAATGCATGAAAATAAATGTTTTCATCGTGCACAGTACTGCAATGAAACTGGTTTCTGTTTCAGTTTGCATAACAAGGGCTACACATTGCGATGTTATCATCATCATGCACATTGACTTTTCAATGTGAATAGTTGTGGAGACAATGACCACTGTCCAGCATCGACCATCGCAAACAGCCCAGTGCTTCTCTGCACACCTCACAGCACACGGTATATCCTCTCAACAAAATCAATTGGGAGAACAAACTCTCTCCATGTCATAAACAATTACAGAAATATTAAAACATTTTAAAGAAGCCTTCATAAATCCAAAAATCAATCCCATTATCAACTAGTGCACAACGCCGCATGCAATGACAAGGGTGCAATGGTTATCCAAACTCATTTCCACGGTTAAAGCCAAAGCCAAGCAGGCAAGAATTGGGGAGGAGGAACGGCTGCTCCCATGGACGCCCCGCCGCACTCACATCTTCCAAGGCATTCGCCTGCGACGCGACCTCCATGTCCGGCGGATGGAAGAGCAGCTCAGTGGCGGGCAGCTCGCTGAGCTGGGTGACCATGCTGACGTGGTGACCGCCCAGGATCTCCTCGGCTTCGTCCATAGGACACGGCTCAGCCTGAAGGCACATTGTGATGCTGCTCAGCCTGCAAGTGAGTCACAGCCACTGTTCATATCTAATTGGCATGCAGGCACGGGCAGCGCAGCAGCTCACACATTTCAAGTGCCTTAGTGCTGTACCTGCGCGCCACTGCAAATTGTTCAAGCGGCACATAAATCAATGAACATGCGCGCAAGCGGCGTTCGTGCGGGGGAGGGGGGGGCGTACGGCACGTGCTGCTTCTGTCGTGCTCAGCTGCGGGAAATGCGCCCTGCGATGGCTTTTTCCCTTTATCGCACGCCCACACGTGTGCTGGCGACTGTGCTAATTTCCCAACGCCGGGTGGAAGTGTACACCACGGCCCGGCAGACTGCACAACGCCACTGCCGAGCCTTGACAACGGAACGGGCCAATCCCCACCATTACTCTCAAAAGGCACCGAGATTGTTTGTAATGTATTGGTGAACTGAGAATCCATATCTCCAGGCCAGCAGCTCCAATTTTACACCCTAGCATGCAAGGTATGGTCACAAACATTTCCTGTATTAAATGTTGTACGTAAATAGGATTTTTGGCATGCAAAATGTTATGCTAATTATTCAATATCGCCACACAAATACATTTTGCAAGGCATGAATGGATAAAAATAAATCTGACACTTCAATATGTAAACTGGAGTGAAATGGCATGGCCTAAGGGAGATTAGGCACATAAACAGGGAGAAAAATAGAGATGGGGGGGGGCAGAGGTAATCAGCGAGATGCAGAGAAAGATTAAAAAAGGGAGTCAGAAAGACAACGCCAGACAGAGGGGGAGCGATAGGAAACTGAGAGACAAAGAGACACAGAGAGGGACAAACAGAGACAGAGAGACACGGAGTTAGTGAGGACAGACTAAATGAGAGAAACAGAGACATCTCAGTTAATAAAAAAAAATCTGCTTCGATTTAGAAATTCGGCCAAATACATCACGAGTTATTCGATATTCATAATCGTAAAATGTGCTTTTCGCTACACCCCAAGTAACTAACTACTCAATAGGAGATGTAAGAAAACTGCAGAACAAGACAATAATTGATCATGTAGATGATGGATATAGTCCAATTTGGTTATAAGATCATAAAAAGGTGTTTATACATGAAATCCTCTACAACATGTTCGACGAGTTTGCCAAAAAAAAACGAGGAGGTCCGTCGGAGGTGACTGGAAAACAACACGGTTTGTGTACATAGGGCAGTATTTATTGTATTGTTTGCTGCTGTAACTTGCTGACCCACCAATACTGGATATCTGTGAAAAAATATCTGCATAGCTCATCAGATTCCTCGCGTTCTGATTCTCAGTACTTGAATACGGATCAGGAACAAGACGGTCAAAATAAGAGATGGAGCGAGTGAAAGTCGGAGGGTTTTTTTGGGAAATCTGAAACTAAATAATGAAAAGCTACATACCGATGTGCCTAAATAACAACGTTTTTAATTGCCGTATATTACTTACTCTGCAATATGAATCAGACATGGGCAGTGAGGGACACTGAACTTAATCTGATAAGTGTGCAAAGAAGCATTGCCTGTGCATGTTTCATTCATCTTTTAAACAACATGTTACATTCACCACCAGACACCAATACGAAGTATGTTATGTAATCTACACATTACATGTCAATAGTCAACTGTCACCACTCTAATTTAGGTCTCCCAGCAATGTCTATAGGTCTTCTCAAAAAGAGGTCTGATCAGAATGACGAGATTACAGGTTTTTTTTATTATCATCGTGCAGATGAGAGAAATTTAATCTTTAATCCTGCAAAAGTCAGCATCGCTATAGTCATCTGGAGCTCCTGCTTTATCTTGATAATGAAACAAACATATTATTCCGCTAGATATATGCAAATATGCTGATGGTAAGTCATGCGGCTACAAGAGCACGCAGGTTATGCAGTAATTAATTCAAACTAAGGGCATGGTTTGTTTCTCAATACGCTATGAACCCGGCAACCCGAGGTCGATTGCCGGCTAACATCAGCGCAGAATATCTGAACCGTTCCTGTGGCCTCTCATATGTCGACTCAGTCTGAAAATTAGTTATCCGATGTGGTGTTATAAGCATGAGCATCGAGGGGAATACAAATGGGGCCGGGTGGGGTATTGCCCACACCACCCCGCTGTGCGCCATCCTGGCCTTCATAGGCACTTGCTAACAACACTTGCCCCAACGGTCTGTATTTGTTTCTCAACAGCCAGCACCTCGATGTGTAACGCTCTACAAGTTTGGGAGGAATTACTCCTCCGAAGCAGTTGCCCAATACCGTACTTCGTTGTCTTGCCCGTCTGAATCGTTCGAGCTGTGATCCTGCTGAAGCGGCTCTTCTTGCTTCTTCTCGGCCGGCAACGTCTGCATCAGCATACTGCACACGCTGGTCTTCTGGCCTTCTTGCTCACGGCCAATGAGGAACCTGCACACAGCCAAAAACACGGCACTGTTTGCTACTGATCCACTACTGGGCAGCCCATTGTGTTTGTGCACTGCATGTGCACACGCATGCACTGTAGCCGTGGCCATGACGATACATTGGTGAGAAATGACATATCACGTAAGCAGTTCATGGCATATACTGTATAGTATAAATGTGTTATATATGATAAATACCAAACACATTTATGACAGTATGTTGAGACGCAGTGTGGTGGCTAATGCATGCAGTATGAGATCGATGCCATGCCATGCACATTTGTTAAAATTGGTGTTTGTACCAGGAACAGGTCTCCTCTAGGTCAACTAGGTCTTAAACGAGTACCTGGTGCGGTGTGCCAAATCAGCACCGTGAGAACTAAGTAGACCGAGTGTGGAGCTGGTCCCACGATCCCGTATGCTGGGCTGGTCCTAACAGGTGCTCGCTAGCAGCACCTGTCCACAATATAACAATGGTAACATTTACTACGGTATGTGTTTACGTATACGGCACTGTCCTGTGCAACTCACGACGTTAATATGAAACATAAACCGCTCGTAATGTGCGGGATATATAGATGTAAACACTTTGAGAGCATACTAAAGGCCACATTGGGAAAACAATATACGATACATAAAATACTGGGCTCTTAATAAATAATAACAGTTTTTTAAATAAAATTTTCACTGAGCCGATATGAAGATAAACGTGTTAATTGTCTGGCCTTCTTCGGAAAAGAATGAGGTATTGAGAGACATCATCTTAATTCTTCTTGGTAAGTGGCATTGCATGCTGGGGGAAGTGTCTGATAGAAATTAAATTAGTTTTAGAATTGACCGACTGAAGGGCAATGAGTGTTCTCATTGTATGGATATCCTATTCAGACTGCTGGTGTAAATCCTGGAACATGTAACCGAGGCCGTGTGTAATTCTGATTGCATCTATGTATTAATGTTATGTCATATATGTATAGACACTCCTCACATTCCAAATATGTGGAAAACAGCTATTCCATACTCACTATTCCTCCTTCCACACACAGAATGCAGTGATGGTGAGGACTTTAAAAGGCAACCACATTTAAATGAAACGCTTTTTCTCAAACGGAAGACATCCAGACACGTACCGCTGAGTGAGCAAACAAGTGGGGGCTTGGCACATGACTCAGACTACAGCCGGTACAAGAATGCATTTAACTGCACAACCTTCAACACCACCCCACTCGCCCTTACATTTCCACCCAGTATCCAATGCTTTTCATGTCTGCATCAACAACTTCTCAATTATACAGGTTGCTGCAACTAAGGGCATATTCTTCGGTTCTTTCAGTAAAGTCACGTAGGTGAAAATAATAACAAAATAATAAAAATTACAATTACTAAATTTGCTTATTTTCATTTTTATTACTTTTTTTATTAAAATAAAATAATAAAAATGAAAATAACGAAATTTAGTTACTTTTATTATTTTTATTTTCACCTACGTGACGTTACCGAAAGAACCAAAGAGTATGGATCCTTGCAGTCACGAAAACTTCAAATCTAGAATTAAGGGCATATTCCCAAACCACTACGATTTGATTCCTGGTGCTCTCTCTGAAACCACAAATCCTGAAACAAGATCATGCCACTGCAGCCAACGTAAAACCCTGCACACGTGTCGTCAGGTCCCACCTGTGTGCAGAAACCCAGCGGATATTTTCACGTAACCACAAACAATGTGGTGACTACATTTCATGCAGAATAATGCCCTGCCTTGTACGTCATCGGAAACCAGAGAAAGCCGGCAGAGATTCGCGGAAACACCTGAGAGATGTTTGGCAAGTGCCAACTTCACTAAACCAGTCACCGGACATTTTATATGCACATTTCACAGCCTCTGCGGCAGGAGCACACTGACTCTGTTATCCGACTTCACGACTCCTTCTGTCTCGAGCAGGCAGAGAGGCAAGGCTCACATTGAGGCTCGGAACCACCAAGCAACCCTGGGCCGTAACGCATAACTTCTGCAAACCACTTTGCACAGTTGACGTCCTTACATACACGTGCGGGTTTCCACACAGCCCCATATACACACAGTATCTGGTAAGGCCCCTCATGCATTTGCTCGAAAACACTGTTAGGAGAGCTTGTTTAAAAAACCAGTTTCATTCATTGATTGCCTTTTAAAGTCCCAATCACCACAATTCCTACATAGGAGGAATTGTAGGCATGGAATAGTTTTTTTGTATATACATGTATGGGACATGAAGATTGTTTATCCACAAAATGAATACTGTAATATCATAGAAAACAATTGTCCAGCATTACACATAGCCCATTTTACACATGCAGAACATCAGAATACATCTACTGTTCTGACCTTTTGTCTTGTTAAGGCGTATTCATATTAATCCTATTGTAACAACTTTACCTAAATTGTCACATTCGCACTCGTTACACACAAAGTGCTCGCCACAAATGAACCACAACACCTTGCCGACCTCGTCAAGTAGCATAAACCACCATCACGCGAACTCCGGTCATCCTCGCAGCGACTTTTGGCTGACCATCGAACAAAGACTGGAGCAATGCACTCTTAAATCTAGATTGAAAACTAATTTCTTTCCAACTACTTTGTTAAGATTTCGATTTAAAGCTTTCGTGACTGCAGGGATTCATCTTCTTGGTTCTTTCGGTAAAGTCACTTAGAATGGAAATAATAAAAAAAAATATAACATTATAAAATAATTATTTTTATTGTGTTTTATTTTTATTATTTTATTATTTCTACTTTGTTTAGATTGTTGTGTTTCCCTACACATCCGATTCGCACGGTTGGCTACGTAGTGCAAAATACGTTCAACATACGTAGACCTGCTGAATGGAAAAGTCCACACAATAAAAATAACTCAGCACCACACTCAAGCGAGTGACACAATAATAAAGCTCACGACACTTCAGTCAAAACAGTCACACAGGCAATGAAACGTGTTGCACCCAAGTCATACAATACAAATATGCACCCAAGTCATACAATACAAATATGCACCCACTATAAACCCCACCGACCTCTATGTACCGCACATCTCTCTGTAAAACAATTTTTCTCAAGGACAGATATTGAGACAGATCTTCCCTTCCTATCTGTGACTGTAAAAGAACTATCTATTTGTTTTTAGTTAATCTGTTATGTACAAGCTCACTGAAGAAACAAGTCCATACATTATTGTGCGCAGTGCATTGTGTCCAATTGGTTTAAGAAAATACAAAGTTCTTGCTTCAATGAACTTAAAGAATGGATAACACGTTAATTAAAAAAATACGTCCTTGTCACTGCCACAAAGGGAAAAATAAATCTTAACAATACGTCTTCAATGTAATAGTCTGCAAGATCTACTTCGAAGATTGACGATTGACAAGACAAATCATTATAAAATTTACAAAAATAAACGCACATCAAAGAGATAAGGGGACAAAAACATTAAACAATCTACCTCAACGGGTACTTTAAATATGCCACAAGATTATTTGGCTCTACTTAATTTACAAAACCACCTTGTTTTCAAGTGCAATATTTAAACGTGGACAGGAATTTCAATGATAATCTTTAGTTAATCCCTGAGAACAGGACAATTCATTTGGATCACTCATCGGTAAGAGTAATGTAGTAAATCAACTCCTTTAAAAAAATAAATAAACAACGGTTTTATTTTAAAGTGCACTAAAAAGTGAATAACTCGATTGGACACCGGGAAGTGGACTACAACTTGATTACCAAGATACACGTGGCGCCTGCTTCTTGGGCGAGCCGACAAGTTTAGGGACCGCGGCGTTTTTTCACCGACACAAAAATATATAATTAATAAGCCGTCCATGGAAAATTTGTAATTGCTTGAAAGGAGGCAATTAATTGATGAATGATTTTACTACAGGCATGCATTGTCACCGGATCTGGGTACGTGTGCAAAATTTGGAATTGATTGGACTAACAGGAAGTCGGCTAACGAGTTTCAAAACACGTGCCTTCATTTGGCGCCGCGTACCATAATCTCTGCAGTAAGATAATTAAAGCATATGGTCACTGGTTTACATGGAAAACTGAATTAGCAATTTATAATTTGACCTGATGATGCCAATATTTTTTAAATATTTGTTTTGTAATTAGTTGTAGCACTCACCTAGATAAAAAAAAAACCCTGGTAATGTATAGAAAATATTTAGTGTGCTGCTACCCTTCCTCTGTACCTGCTGGTCTGTACGATTTTTTAATTAGTTTTAATGACACGTTAAGACAGATAACAGGGTCAGTTTGTAAGAGGTAATTAAACAAGGTTCTGGACAAATGACATTCCAAGGACTTCCTCGTGCGTTTCGCCGACTCGAAAATACGTCACGAAGAGCTAAAAAAAGAGACTCAGGTTTCCACCCGCACATCATTGGAAAGGGTGGCACCTTTCAGATTGATCTCCTAAGCACCGTTTTGACTTTTTGACTCTTTAAATATCTGCCACGATTTGACGCTGTTCCAAACACCTAATTGCAAGTACTGTGCTTTGTGCCTGATCTTTGTTCATATAGTATTTAGTTAAATCAATGGAATGTGGAATAGGGAAGCAACCCACAATTTTGTAATTGTACATTTTGTGATTTTACTCTCCAACACACTGTTGTGCTGTACTTGTAACGAATTGGCATGTGTTTACGTGACTAACCTTACTAATTGGCTGTGTCGGGTGGTGGTGGTGGGCACGTTTAACGACACATTTATATTTACGCGATCTAACCCAAAAAAAACTCTTATGGATCCCACAATTGCAAATATTTCCCCTAAACTGTTTCATGAAATATGTTATGCTATGTGGAAAGATGACACGGCTCCGCCAGAGTAGAGGGCACAGAGAATTTTGAATTTAATACACTGAGTACCTGGGAGTCAAAAAGACATTGAAAAGCTTCTTTACCTCCCTTCATGTAACCCAGGACTGGTATGCAGAGGCGGAATGTAAACCAAGACAGTGATGACAGTTCAGTACAGGGAAACAAATAGAATATCCTACTTTGTGTTCTGAATTGAACTCTTCAGGCTATAAAAAGTACGTGTGAAAATGAGTTTGAGTGCGTGTATAAAGTAACGTAAGATAAGCATGTTTACACATTGATAAACTGTTAATCGTGATAAATTCTGATGTCCACAGCACCGTACAGTGCACGGTAATGAAAAAACAAACTCTTCCAAGGTTAAACGAAAGGAAAAAAAACAAGCACTGTACAATCACAGGGTATGGTCAGAGACCAGGCAATGAAGGAAGCAATCATGTACGAGTCTGCATGTTTACCCTCTTGTACTGTTTGCTCTTCAAATTGCACCGGCCTGTAATTTCAAACCACACCTGTACGAATGATATGAATCGACTAAAATGGCATGCAGTTCCATCCCCAGGCAAACTCAAAACATCAGTTTTCAGCCACCAACTTTACCTACTTGTGTCCAATTTTCAGTGAAGCAAGTAAAGTGTTACCAAGCAGAAGCGATGGATGGGATTGTTTAACACCACAGCACACGCCACCCCAAATTCTACAAAGCCACTTCATTGCACAAAAGGGTCCTGTGCCAAATGCCTAAACCACCGTTTCGGCCTGGAATGTCTGCTTAATTGGTTTTCGAGTTTGATAACTGGTGGCTAAATATGAAATAACTATCATCACGCAATACATATATTTTGTTTGTCTAGTTCACTTTAACAATGGGGAGCTAAAAGCATGGCCCTCAGTTATTACCAGAAGTCGTTTGATGGCTTTATAGCTGCTTGAGCATTTGTTACATTTACTATGCAAATTAAAAGCTCCATTTATAGGCTTCGAACAAAGAGTGTCAAATGTGCCACTTTAAAATACATAATTGACCAACACATTGGATTTAATAAACTTGCATGTTTAAAACACTGTCTTAAGAGATTACTGTAGGCAGCATGTCTTTTGTGTCATCAACCAAACTAAAGGAAGAGACTTTAAACGTTTAGTGGAACTGGTCTGAGCTGTTCGTAAACCACAGCTTGGAATGGCCTGCTGTGATGAAACCTCCTTCGCTTGGCATGCGTCTCTGATTGGGGTTCTTCTATTATCAGGTCACAACATGAAATGTCAAAATAGTTGACATTCACACTGCTTTTATAAATTAAAATGCATATACAGTTGATCAATGATGATCCGACAAAACCACTCCAAAGGCTGTAACCAGTCCAGGCGATCGTCAAACTCATCAATGTTGTTGTTGATAAAAGAGTAACTATGTACATCACCCTATGCAGGGTCTTCGAGATTATAATGGTAAGTACGGTACAGTAAATACGGTAACTTTTTACAGTAGGAGATTTATTTGTGTCGATTGGTATGTTCATTTATGCAGATTTCATCTAGGGTACACATTTTTAAACACCTAAAAAGATGTTACGCAAGAATGTGCATAAATAAGCTATTTTAAATAATGATGTAGTGAAAATCCGGTGGGCCCTTCCCCTCGAAGCCGCCAGATAATCGATGATCTATTGTAAATGTTTTTACTACTTTGGCATATATTAGGCGCATTATTATTAGGAACAAAAGTTGTGTGGCTAAATATATTCAGTGTATGGTGTTCCCGATTTACTTTTCAAATAGTATTAGGAAGATAGGGTAATATAAAAAAATGCTAATAGTACACGAATCACATTGCCGGAAAAAATGCGTGCCGGGCTTTATATTGATGTTTAAAGCGGCACAAGACAAGGCACATCTCATTTGTTTACAAAAATGTTCTTGCAACTAACGGCAGATATAAGCTCCTATACGCATGGAGCATATGCGTCTGCTTGCAGGCTGCACTTTCAACAAAATCAACGTTTGCATGGCACCGTTAATGTTTGCCGTAAAGTTAATGTTTGACGTTGCACACATGCACGCTGCATACTCCAAACACTGCCACCCCCCCCCCCCGTTGCTCCACGGACAGAACTGGCTGGAGCCATGCGTGCTACTTGACAAGTGCCAAGGCACAATGGGATGGGTGTGTCCCGTGGGGTGGTGGCGTTGTGGCTGAAAAACAACACCACCACTTCACGAATGGGGTGGTCGTCGCCACACTGCCCATTGCACCTGGGTGGGTGGGTGGGTGCGTGTGAGTGAGCAAGCACATTGTGCAGAAAAGGACCCGGGCAGTGCTCAAAAAGTGCGAATCCAGCTACTGAGGCTTCAAAATAAAATGTGTCCAGGGATGCGAACACAACACGCGCTTTTTTGAAGTTTTGCAAGTTGCATTTTACTCAACCAGAAAGTACACTGGCTTAATGATTACACGGCACTGCATATAATATATTATCATGATAATATTAATAATCGGCTCTTATTCTAATACAGTGGTTCTTAACATTTAATGCAGCCTTGCTACCCCCTTGGCTCTCAATCGTTAAAACGTGTACAATTTTAATAGATACATAAGGTTTGATTAAACAAAGCAGTTAAACTTACGTGCCAGTGCTTAATTTGCGTTACGATTTGCCTTCTAAAAAAACATCTGGCCATGTCTCGCACCCCAAGACAGGGCATCTCGCACTTCCAGGGGGTGCTTGCACCCCAGGTTAAGAACCACTGTTCTCATACATACTCGAACATATTTGTTCAAACGTACGATCTTGAGACAGCTTCGATCTCCAATTTCAGATGATGTCGATGAATGCATAGCGATGTACAAGTGCTGTACGTGCATTTAAGAAAACACCGTCGTCATAGATCTACTCACTTGACAAGGCCTTTGGTGTTCTTCAAGACACTGGCAGCAAAATGTTGCGAGACGCCCACCAGGCTGGTTCCATCCACTTCCACAATCTGATCATTCTCCTTGATGCTAATGCAGCAGAATGTCAATATCTTAACAAGGCATGACAACATCGACATAATTTCTGATTGGAGAAAAAACTGAAAATAATTTACTCAACTCTGTATTTAGAGGGTAATTGCGGCGAGTAATCTGCAAACACTTAAGATGGCATCATTACAAGCGTGGATGTTTAATTGGGCCGGCAGGAACTGAACTTCAGTGTTGAGATCAATATTTAAAGATAATTTATCATTCAAACTATGCCAAAATTTAATATCAGTTGACAATATACTGTACAGTATAAGGAAAACAACTAAAACATATAATGGGCACATTCCAAACAAGCACCCAATACGTGTTTTGTACTTATGCTATGAGGAAACATTTTTTTTCTAGGATCCATAAATGCAATTACATTCTAAAACATAATAAAATCTAATTAAGTATCGATCGCAGCATGAAACACATCAAACACTGCTGTTTAAATAAAAGGTTCAACATCTTTATTTGCATGTATTAAAAAACAGTTTTCGTGATTTTAAATATACTCGAATGTAAAATAGTTGCGTTAAATTAACGATAAAAGGAAGCATTTTCAGATGTTATAGAAATTCATGGTATTATCGTTCTTCTGCTGCTGAAAAAACTAACATCAGTGTCAAGTGGTATCAGAACCAGTCCTGGCCCCAACCCCTTCAACAACAACACGTATTTGGTCAGAGTGGTTAAGTATTTTCAAACAACCTCGATGGCGGACATGGCCTGCGGAAGGCCTTCATCCAGCAGTGGATTAACGAGGGGATGATGAAAGGGAACTCTTGATTTTAATACTCGCACCAAATGATACTGCTAATATTTTATGTTCACTGCGTTATAATTAAATACATGTTGAGAATACATGTACTTTTCAATCAATTTTCCATTATATTACAAGTATAATTACCAACATTTCACTCTCAATAATTGATTTAGTTCACGGAAGATTTAATCGAATCTGACAAAAAAATGCTGGACACATAAGTGAAACTTAACCGCCATCATCAAGTTGTTTACACAACAGAGACATTGTTCAGAGACACTGCTGTCCCACGATGATGAGCGTTTGCGTGGGATAGGTGCCAACAGGAGGGATAATCACACAATGCTGTGCAGAAACACATTCATGCAAATGTGCTTGGCTCAGGACAGTGCTGGACCAGTGAGACGGGTCACTGTCCGCGCCTCTGACGTGGGCCCCGTGTGTCTTTTCTCCTTTATTTTGAATGTCATTTGAAAAAGCAAAGGACGTATGCATAACTTGTATGTTGCGTTTAGAAAGCCGTACGATGCCGTCTGGGATTGCCACATGGCTTCTGTTTGTACCTCGTGGAAACGTGTGTTTTGGGAAATGATCGGGTGGGAAGGGGGGGCTTGCGAGCAATTAGTCGCATTTCTACTGCATTCGCAAATTTGGCGACTCCTCAATTCCTCACTGATGGAGGAGGCAGCCGGATCTTCGAGATGAGAAGCCAGGTAGTTTCTTTGTTGAATCTTCAATACGTGACTTGTAGGGACATTGCACGGCGACCAAATCTCCTTCCATTGGCTAACGATATAGGCCCCTGTGTGTATTGTGTGCTTACCGGCCATCCTTATGTGCTGCTCCACCATCAATGACCGACTTCACAAAGATACCCAGCTTCTCAATACCGGAATCTATTCCTACTCCCATGCCAATGATACTTATTCCAAGCCCTCCATCTCCTGCAGCAGAGCAACAAGGCAGTCAGTTTTTAAATTCCACCCTACCCTGCATGTATTTTTGCATATTTCATTTTGTTACACCATTATTTTAGCACCTCAGTGGTGAGCTAAATACTGTTCCCAATGCCCGTGCAAACAATTACAAGCTCATACATCCGCATTTCCGATTAACACAGTTGGCTACGTATGGTGCGATAGAAATGGTGGAACTTCAAAGAAATCACGTGTGACATTTAACCTGCCAAATACGTAACGCTACATCTTCCACTTTATTATACACGTGCATCAACTGTAAAGCCGAGTTTGCATATCAACGTGTGACGCAGTTACACAAGCTTGGCAAATGCAAACGGTACCACCCAGTGAACTCATCTTGGGGTGATTTGAGCACCAGTGTGGGTGTTGTTGATGCAATAAAAGTCACAAAAGAGTGTGAAGATTCTACAGGCACGCGGTATTAGATATTAACGTGTCATTTGTGCAATCAAAAGCATTCAGTTCTCCTCACCTTTGTTAAGTTCCACAGGAAAAACATCCATGAGCTCAATTTGCTTTTCAAGCTCGTACTCTGCCGAGGACGCAATTGGGTCCACATCGTCATTTGTCCGGTCATACTCTCTGTTCGTAAACATTGGAAACACCTGCAAAAATATTGACGCAATTATGTCGTTAAATATACGATATCAGCTGTACAACCCATAAACTTCTAGTTTCAAAACAAGGCCATAATTTTGGTTGAAAACTTCCCAATTCACGGTTGGCTACGTACGGTGTGAAAGAAGTTCAACACACAGTACATACATACAACAACAACAAAGCAAGTCACTTCAGAATGTGGCGCTAATTAGGCTATGCGGATACATTTAAATCGCGTTGCCATCGACGGCATGTGCATGGTGTAACCAAAGTGCTCATGATCGTTTGTTTGTCCTTTTAAATGCATACAATTGAATACATATATCGTATTTATCATCATTAGACGCTGTACTAAAATGGTGTACATTACCATACTGTACAAAGTAACCATGGTGCTAAAGTGCAGAGTTCAAGATGGACAATGGGTATCAGATTGTCATCAAATTTTGATAATTTGTTCAAGAGTTGAATAATAATATAAAAGACTGTAGAGTGGTATAGCACATTTCTTTTTTGTGGCAGGGTTAATACGGCGAGACCAATGTAGGATCCGATGGTACACCAAACATTCAGCTCAAATTAGAAAACCATCAGAGGTTTTTGGGGTTAGATCGCGTAAATATAGAAATGTGTCGTCAAAAACCCACCACCATCCGACACAACCAACTAGTAAGGGTTGTCACGTAAACAGAACATGCCAATTCGTCACTAGTACAGCACACCGGTGTGTTTGAGAGCCAAGCCACTACATTTACAATTAGTAAATGTAGTGGCTTGGCTCTCAAATTAGCAAATGTCACTGAAGTCCAACACTAGTAGTATACACATACCATGTAAGTGTAAAATATTTAAAGGAATTTCCCATCATAAAAGTGTTATTTCTATAGCAAGGTTCAAACACAAACTGCTCTGGTGAATCTCTGTTGCGACATGTTACAACTCTGTTGTGTGGGCGTTAAATTCCCAGCATTAGTAATGTACCCGACTAATGCCACACGAGCCAAGTACGAGTTAAATACCTCCCTGAAAAGTTAGGTATGAAATGCAATGCCATCTGTAGCCCCCCCCCCCCTCCTCCTCCTCCTCGACCAAGGTGTATACGCGTGGTTGTGCACTTTTTTACGATAACTATATAATAGTTTGGCCCATGTATCTGATAATGGTGTGAAATACACCCACATTGATCCGATGGTTCACGTTCGGGAAGCCAGAAAATTCAAGTACCACGGTAAAACCTCAGCGCACACACCAAATAAACCACCGTGACCACTACTGCATTAACTGTTGCCTTCAATTAGTAAAGTGAAAACTCTTTTCTCACAATACGCCGTTAGCAATGGGGGGGGGGGAGGATCAAGTTATGTTGCTGGCGTAGGATTGATTACACGGTTTTAACTCCACAGAGCCAAGATCGACTCTAATTACATCCATATGTTACAGGGACGCTATGGCAACTGCGGACTTCCCAAGTCTCGGGATATAAACCATTGTGACCAGCTGTTCATCAACATACAGGTCAACGGTGCCAGGTTGCTTAATTGGAACACCAGATTCGTACTTAGGAATGTTGCCATTTTTGACAAATGCTTGTAAAGTGGTGGCAACACTTTAAAAAAACTACATCACTTAAAATTTAAATAGAAAATTAGTGTCGAATATTACAAACAATGTTGGCATTCATCTCTTCTCAAAAATAATGAGAAAAAAGTCCAATGCCATTCATGTTGACCTTGAACATTTTAAACATTAATATTGGCAACAAGGCTTTAATAGCACTAACATATTGACCAATACAGTATCTTCATCGTGCTTTGTGTGAGCCCACGTCAATACAAAACGTTATAAGTTAGAATACTGGAAATGCACATTTACAGTTCTGAGAAAGAACGAAAAGCAGGCCAGCATTACCTTCATGGGTGCTGTGCTGAAGTGTACTTTACGCTTTTCCGATGGAGGATCATCATCATCTGAAAGACCTGGGATTTCATTACAGTGATGTCCACCACCAACAACACCATTTTCTGCCACGGCCTCGTCTTCTGATTTGCTATCAATATCTTGATCGGCCGTATCTTCAAAAGCTGCATTTTCTATGCCGACACTGATAAATCGCTCACGTGGCCTCTTGTCATCGCTGCTGTCCGTCTCGTCACTGTCATCGTCACTACTGCCCTCCTCATCATCATGATCAGAGTCATCTGTACTGGACGAGACGTTTTGGTCCAACAGCAAATCCTGTTTCTTGACTTGAGCTTCATGGTCCTCCTGATGACTAGGTTCTCTTAAATGTGCAATCTGTGGCACCATCGACAAATCCTGGTCTGCTTTCCCAACTGTGATGTCTGCCTTAAAACTGTCTGATGTCTTATCACTGCTGGAACCTAAAATAACCAAACATTCCTTCTGTGGATAACATGGACTGGGTAAAATGTCTCTTCTGAATTCATTCACATCTTCAATGCCAGTGCTAACAACCTGGATCTCGGCACTTTGCACATTTTGAGTATCATTGCCTTCAAGAACAGGGTTCAGTTTTAAAGGGGAAGTAAACAATGGTGATGATACATTTTTGTCTGGGCTGCCAAACACTTTAGTTGAACTCGTGGGTGTTGTGCGTGTACTTGGACTTTCTGCATTACTCTGGTCTGAAAAACTGAAAGTTTCTTCTGCATTAGCTTCAATTTCATCTTCATCGTCATCAAGTAAAAAGCTTGACAGCCTTTTGGATATTGGTCCAGAATTGAGACGTGATCGACTTTTAAAATCTGAAGATGTGGAACTAACTGAACTTGATACAGATGACTCTCTATATAAACCCAGCTGTTTTTGCAGTCCAGACTCAGCCTTTGGGCTTGTAAAATACTTTTCTTCGCCGTCTTTCTCCGAGGGAGAACTTTTAAGATATGTCCATTTTGTATCTTTCATGCTCGACTGTGGTTTAAAATTTGTCTTTTCAAAAACTTTCCTCGTTTCAGAAAATTTTTCCGCATGATTTGGAACTGCAGCGGTGTCACCTTTTTGTAACACATACGGGTGTCTAGCAGTCTTCATGTGCACATCAGGTGATATTTTACGCTGGGGTTCCGTGAAAAGCATATGTTTAATTCTATCAATATTTGAGCTTTGCTGATCGCCGTCTGTCATGTCAGCATCCGCAGAACCATCGTCACCATTCTTACTTTCTTCAGCGGGTTCCTCAAATTCAATCTTGGTGCAGCTTTGAAGGCTACCTTTGTAAGCGACCTGGTGAGGAGAGTCCTTACGTCCTCCTGTCTCCACAACAGTCTCCGCATTCAGCATCTCCACTGGCTGTGGTTGGCCTCGACAATCAACAGGTGCCTATCAAACAAATATCTGCAATAAACATCACAATAAAAGAAAATGACGCGTTTGATTTACACTCAACAGTGACAAAGATCACTCTTTACAGGGAGTGTTTGACTATTCTGAAATACACTCCATATTTAAACGGCATTGATGTCTTCATCAGCATGATATTGTATCAACTAAATTATCCTCGTAATTTAAATGCAAACTTCATGCCAAGCGACTGGTTTTATTAAAACACATTGGGTTTGTATTTCAGGCATATCTAATGTTTTAAATTAGAAATTAACATAAAACTCCACTTAACATATTTTATGCAACCAATTGTCCATGGGGGAGATTGCCATTTATATAATGTACGTAAAACGATCTTTAAATGTGGACACATGAACAACTATGCCACCACTTAAGTGATAAAGAAAACACTGCAACACATTACCAAAATAACTCGTTTATCTAAGCAATGTTCAAGCACACGAGGCATAACATTTGAACTGCTGTGCTCACTCCAACAAGGGGTGGCAAGCCCAGTGGTGGATACGCAGTCACACACATACACACACACATCCCTTATAGCCAGGGTCGCCCACAAAACCACTCGTCGGAGGATCTATGGTTAAGGGAAGTGCTGTGATGGTAGATTGAGTACCGGGAGCTGAACTTTTTTTTTTTAAACAAGTAAACTGAAGGAGGTGCGATTGTCTAGTACGAAAGCAGAGGAACATAGCCGAGATTGAAGTTGTGCGAGGAGGCAGCTCGGATGGAGCAAGTTGTCTGGGATTAGGGACGAGGCGCAAAAGAAAGGCAGCAGTGTCCCGAGAAGATTCGGAAGAGTGATGATGTAGCCGAGACAGTTTTCTAGTAAGGCACGCGCTGAGAAGAGTAAGCACGGAGCAGCGGGGAAGAGGAAGGGGAGGAGATCTGGGGTGGAAGAGCAAAGCTGCTTTCGTCGGGAGTGGAGTAGCAAGGGATGGAGGAGGCGAGAGAGGAGCAGGAGGAGGGGGTGTGTGTGCGTGTAAGGAGCTATGACGAACGTGCCGAGTTTTACGTTGTAGAAGCCTGAGAGAGGAGGAGGGAGGAGCTGTGATGGAAGAGGAGGAGGAGGAGATGGGAGGCGGAATCTGCGATGGAGGAAGGGGAGAGAGAGAGAGGGGGGGGGCAGGAGGGAGCGGTCCACCCGCCCGCACGCACGACCGACCGACCTCGCAGGTACTGCGCTCGGACCCAAAAACTCGACCGCGTCCGCCACTTCGGGAGCGCAGTGGCACGGGCGGTCCTCACCTCGAGGCGACGCTTTGACGGGGGAAGCGCTCGGGGCCGCCGTGAGTTTCACGGGTCGGAGAAGAGAGGGCGAAGTTTGCGATGAAAGCAGCAGCGGGGGAGGCGGAGGGGAGAAGAGACGCGGCCAGGAAGCGCGAGGTGGTGGCAGCGCCTGAAGGTGCGCGGGGAGGAGCGACGTGGCGCGCTCCGCCCCGGTCAAAGGCTAATGCATGCGTGCCTGTGTGGCACGGTGTGTGTGTGTGTGTGTAGCACGGATACACCACACTAATGCATGCGTGCCTGTGTGTAGCACGGATACACCACACTAATGCATGCGTGCCTGTGTGGCACGGTGTGTGTGTGTGTGTGTAGCACGGATACACCACACTAATGCATGCGTGCCTGTGTGGCACGGTGTGTGTGTGTGTAGCACGGATACACCACACTAATGCATGCGTGCCTGTGTGGCACGGTGTGTGTGTGTGTGTGTAGCACGGATACACCACACTAATGCATGCGTGCCTGTGTGGCACGGTGTGTGTGTGTGTGTGTAGCACGGATACACCACACTAATGCATGCGTGCCTGTGTGGCACGGTGTGTGTGTGTGTAGCACGGATACACCACACTGATGCATGCGTGCCTGTGTGGCACGGTGTGTGTGTGTGTGTGTAGCACGGATACACCACACTAATGCATGCGTGCCTGTGTGGCACGGTGTGTGTGTGTGTGTGTAGCACGGATACACCACACTAATGCATGCGTGCCTGTGTGGCACGGTGTGTGTGTGTGTAGCACGGATACACCACACTAATGCATGCGTGCCTGTGTGGCACGGTGTGTGTGTGTGTAGCACGGATACACCACACTAATGCATGCGTGCCTGTGTGGCACGGTGTGTGTGTGTAGCACGGATACACCACACTAATGCATGCGTGCCTGTGTGGCACGGTGTGTGTGTGTGTGTAGCACGGATACACCACACTAATGCATGCGTGCCTGTGTGGCACGGTGTGTGTGTGTGTAGCACGGATACACCACACTGCATGCGTGCCTGTGTGGCACAGGTGTGTGTGGTGTAGCACGGATACACCACACTGATGCATGCGGCCTGTGTGGCAACGGTGTGTGTGTGTGTGGTAGGCACGTGATACACCACACTAATGCATGCGGCTATGTTGTGGCCACGGTGTGTGTGTAGCACGGCTTACACCACACTAATGCATGCGTGCCTGTGTGGCACGGTGTGTGTGTAGCACGGATACACCACACTGAATGCATGCGTGCCTGTGTGGCACGGTGTGTGTGGTAGCACGGATACACCACCTAATGCATGCGTGCCTGTGTGGCACGGTGTGTGGTGTAGCACGGATACACCACACTGATGCATGCGTGCCTGTGTGTGGCACGGATACACCACACTAATGCATGCGTGCCTGTGTGGCACGGTGTGTGTGTAGCACGGATACACCATACTAATGCATGCGTGCCTGTGTGGCACGGTGTGTGGGTAGCACGGATACACCACACTAATGCATGCGTGCCTGTGTGGCACGGCGTGTGTGTAGCACGGATACACCACACTAATGCATGCGTGCCTGTGTGGCACGGTGTGTGTGTAGCACGGATACACCACACTAATGCATGCGTGCCTGTGTGGCACGGTGTGTGTGTAGCACGGATAAACCACACTAATGCATGCGTGCCTGTGTGGCACGGTGTGTGTGTGTAGCACGGATACACCACACTAATGCATGCGTGCCTGTGTGGCACGGTGTGTGTGTAGCACGGATACACCACACTAATGCATGCGTGCCTGTGTGGCACGGTGTGTGTGTAGCACGGATACACCACACTAATGCATGCGTGCCTGTGTGGCACGGATACACCACACTAATGCATGCGTGCCTGTGTGGCACGGTGTGTGTGGCACGGATACACCACACTAATGCATGCGTGCCTGTGTAGCACGGATACACCCACACTAATGCATGCGTGCCTGCAAGGCACCAGAACGCAGTGTCCTAAAAAAAGGGCCACACGCTTTAGATTTACATGGCATCGAAATGCGACAGCATCGTTCGACACTACATAGAAGCAGCGGGAACGTTAATTTCATTGAAGATAAAAAAAAAAGGTTATTGAAGCCTGGAGTATAACAATAGCATGGACCGAAGGGGGAAGGGAATTACAGACAGTGGAGGCAGCAGAGGAGAATGAGCGACCTCCCACTGAGCGGAGGTTGACTGAGGGCTTTGACAAAACGAGGCAGGCAGTGGGACGTCCTGGGAGGATTTGAGTGGCATCATCAAATTGACCCGGTATTGAATTGGTTGGAAGTCAGTGGAGGGGTTGGTGCATTGATGCGATCTCGTTTATTTGGTGCAAGTAGGTGAGCAGTTGCATTTTGGATCGTCTAAAGTTTAGAGGAGGGATTTGTACTCACGAGGAAGGTCTAAGAGATAGTTGCAATGGCCGAGCCAGAATGTGATGAATGAGTTACAGCAGCAGAGTGGTAAGGAAATGGCAGGTGCAGATGTAGTCATGCAGAGAATGAATAAATTTAGGGTTTCACACACTGCCAGTGTCATTTCAGAGTTTAGGAGATAGTCAAACTGGAGTTTGTTTCCCAGAGTGATATTTGTTAATAAACACTGCCTACATTTAGATTTGAAGTTTTCGTGACTGCAGGGATCCATACTTTTTTATTCTTTCGGTAATCACGTAGGTATAAAATAAATCACGTTTCGGGCGCAACACAAGCGTCCGTCACCAGGTGGGACCACAGCAAGAAACAATTGCTGAAGTGGACAAAAGGGCTTGTGTTGCGCCCGCAACGTCGTGATTTAATTTATTTTATACCTACGTGACTTTACCGAAAGAACTCGAGTACTGCCTACATTTTTGCAATATCTAGTTGGAGGACGTTAGAACTGATCCAAAAATGTACCATGCCTAGGCAGGTTGTTCGTATAGGCAGTGAGATTTAATTTGTGAAGTCAATAGTGATCTAGAGCTGCGTGTCACAATCACATAAATTAAGGTTGAAATTAAAACTGGAGATTATTTTGCTAAGAGGATATAAATTGAGATGAAGGGGCCGAGAATGGCACTTTATTAAAGACATTACAAAAAACGTTAAAAAGTTGCACAAGTGCAATGGAACATTGGACCTTAGCTTGCAACTAAAGCAATATTTGCAACAGCCAGAGAGAAACCCAAATTACAACTGTTTTAATATTTTTGTGCATACATTAGCAAATAACGGTTATTTAATATTATCTGAGTAAACCCCTTTTGTCACAGAAGTAGGAAAACAATAGCTTTTCAGATAATCCATTACAACTTGGAATGAAAATGTAGCATCAATGCTAGATACTGATGCCACACATTGGGGACACGTTACAACAAAAACACTGTTGTCCCCTTTCAAGTGCGCAAATAGGTCACTACGTTGACATTCTGAGCTGAATTACTATTAGGGGGAGGGCATTTAATGTTATGGTCATTATTTCAACGAACAAGTGCTCTTCTGTTCCCCATTAAACAAGTGTCCCGAATACTGTAGTGAAATAAATGCACGACGTGCTTCTAATTAAAATGGTCTTTGAAACACTTTCTGTAAATGACGTGTCGCGCAACTTGAATGCTAACCTCATTTGTCACATTCCAAAGGAATGGGTTTGCATGGAATTTGGCAAAGTCAAATAAACGACATGCAATTTACTATCGTGAAAAATGACCAATCCCAAAAAATGTGATCACATAATAGTTCTTCTGTTTCCATTGTTTAATGAGTTAACGAATCGACTATTAATATGAGAGCAACGGACAGTAGTACAAACTGCACACTGGAGTACAAAAAGAGACGCCACGCATCAAGTCTTCCACATTTAATATTACAGTAGTCTGGTTACAATTGCAACCTGAAAAAAAATGTAATGTACAAAATTACTTCCATACATACACGCAATGGATATACATAATTGCTTCCCATGACACTACTCCAGTAGGCAACCAAACTCGTATGTAAATTCATATACTTTAACAATAACCACGTAGCCATAATAAATTACCTCACAATAATTCACATCTCCACCTACCAATGTGCAATGTCATGTAAGCGGTATTTTATTTATTAAATAGAATAAGTTACGCATTTCATTTCATGCTTTTAAAAAGCTTAATACAAATTCGATTTTACGCTGTTTAAATGTATAAAACACCTATAAACACTTTAAAGATTGAAATGTAAAACTTGCAATTATCTTTTCAGTGCACATCAGTTACAGTACAGTTATTAGAATGCATCTCTGTATTCAAATGTACTTTCAACAGAAACGAAAGACAATAAAATAATGCCAATTCTGCACTGCAGACTAAACAAAAATAATGAAAATGTACAAACTGTAATTCGTTTTCATAGCCTGTCCTTTTAAATAGTCCAAAAGCAACTTGATCAATAGCCTAGAAAATATATAAAGCTTACACATGTTTACATCTCCAGGTGTAACATTTGACAAATTATCAGCGATACATACAGTACTATTCAGAGCATAGGACGCAAATGACATAACATGTGCTACATTGACTATAATGTACATAGTCAATGAAAAACACATGAATGTACTTTAACAAAGTACAATATTATTGAAGCCTTTGTTGAGGGAAGCATATACAAGTTAAATGGCTGCTCCCATAAACTATATAAACCTATTGTACATTTTTCAGGGATCTTGAGAAAGGGTAAAGATTGTGCACAATGGGACACCAGAGCACCCAAAAACCATCAACTGACCAACCACTACAATTTGCCCCAAGGTTCTCATAAGCAATTTCCTTTGAAACCGACGTTTAAGACCAGAATATATCATTAAACTCTTTATGTTCATCAATATTCTAATCACTCTGCCGACGTTCTTGCATTTCAGTAGCTTTGTAGTTTTACAAATGTGCCTCAAACACTTGTGTTGTGCACCATCGACATTCAGGGGTTCTCAACTGCAATCCTCGAACTCACCGCCCCCTCCCCCCCCCCAAATAATACACTTATTATTCAACAGATGCATGCAATATATCATTAAATAACATTTCAATGGATACATTGGTAAACTGGAAAATGTGGTAGGGTGCAAGAACCAGAAGTTGAAAACCTCTGAATAGACCCTATAAACACAAAA